AGCTGGTACCCAGACACGGCGCAAAAAGCAATACAAGCTACATACAAGAGAAAGCCGAGCGTCACAAGTTTGCTTCATCTCCGGTCTAAAGACAACTAAGATTCAACTAGGTCAGTAGATGATAAGTGGTGGCCCGGTGTCGATGCCTCCATGGCAGGGGCAAGGTCAAGGCCAAGTTCAGTGGACGCCTGGCCAATGAGGACTTGGGACATTGCAAGGACCATTAGCTGGCTAAATGATGCTCTGCCAATAATAACACAGTTTAGCACTTGCTCCTTCAAAGACAAGGTAGACACAGACTATATCTCTCACCGCAATAAAGCCAGCCGCGGGATGCGGAGTAGATGCAACAGATAACCTTGTAGGTCAGATATGCGTGCACGTTGCATGCATATTCTCCTGGCTTAAGCAGATACTTGGCATGAGAAGTACCTAGCAACTACTACAGCAAAGGCACTTACCTCCCTCCCTACCTAGTAGGTACTACCTTAGTTGCTACAGATGCTCGGAACTGGCCTAAAGCCATTCACTCGTCATTTCTCTATCCTCAAAGGGCGTGGCCCCCAGCAGTTGTCGTAACCAACTCCCCTCATCGGCCTCCTTTCTCGCAGCTGCAATTACCCATGCAATGAATTCTTTCCTGCATCTATTAATCTACCGGAGATAGTAAAATAGTTCTATTGTAGGTATCAAGCATACCAGAGTGCTCCGTACGTATAGCATGTTTCACTAACCCACACGCACATATCCCAATGGCCACTCACACTTCGCTAGACGGCTATACGGTCTGACACACCAGCCGACCACTCAGCCTTATGGCTATTAACCGTGTGGTAAAGAGGCTTTCCGGTGTACATGCAGCCAAAGTCTTATGCCACATGGAACTGCTCAGCTGAAGCCTCTCCGAATAAAAGCATACCCCTTCACCTCGTCTGCATCCTCCTCTCCTATTGTTAGGCTCAATACGACAAGATTGGAGACACCCCCCTTCAGTCGGGTCGCACAACCATCAAAGTCAGAGGGTCGTTCTTTATTGTCATCTTTTCAGTTGTGCCAGTCTGACGTGTTCAACAACTGACACGAAAAGGAAGAGCGTGGCTCTGGGGCCGCTCGGCTCGACGGGGGAGAAAAAAAAATAGAGTTCGCCGGCTGAAAGCACAATCATCCATCCATCCATCCATCCAATGTCGATCGTTGCTGACACCCTCTCACAGAAAGTTGCCAGGCACCAGAAACATGCCCTAAATTACCTGCCACTCTTGCGTCCTAATCGAGCCACATAGGCCGATGCAACCCCATCCTTTCACGCCGCCACACACACCAGGCCAGAGTCCTGCCGGACACGCTACCGAATGTTGCCATCTCGGCATGTAGGACACGTGAATCTAACCAGAACTGGGCGAAAAGAAAAGTCCAGAAAGAATCCTCCCGGGCGATGACTCCCCATGACAGCTGCACGGTATACGAGCAGTCCTACGCCATTCATATCTGCAAAATACGGTGGTTTCTGCCTGGAGCAGCAGGCTGCAAGTCACTCGTGACAGTCAGGCAGACGGATGACTACATAGCACTGAGCCCCAATCAGAGGCAGGACTTTGCCTCTCCGTTTACGGGATGCCGAATGGATTCTCCCAACGACAGAGCCAAGCCACGCCACCACCAAAAAAAAAAAAAAGGAAAAAAGAGTGCAAGGGACAAAGAGGTTGAGACGCTGCCATGCGAAACCTAATACGCAAATGTCAATAGTACCACCATGGCCCTCTTGACATCTCCCATCCGGCCTATGCCCCATTTGCTTCACAGAGCCTCAAATGGCAGGGAGCCCTGCTGCGAGCATGTACCAGTACGGCGCGGTGCAGACAATTGAATGTGACACGTCCGTCTTAGTACCGTTACTCTGTAGGGGAAGCCCCCAGCGCGCCGGGAAAAAAAGACGCTGGGCGGTACGGCAGGGGTTCCCCGTCCAGTTCCCAAGGCTGCTTGTCCGTGCCGTTGCATCAGCACCCCCGTATTCGGCTCAGCCCACGCCCAGCACCCTCATCCGCAAAAGCACCTGATGTCGATGCGATGCCGATTGATGTTTCGGCTGGGGAAACATTGGACGACAAGCGCGATCCACCGCCAGATAAAATTAGGACCAAGCTAGCATTGCAAAACAAGCGCGGCCGCGCATAGCGGCGTATCTGACTAGCAGCGGCAGTCAATACAGAGTACAATATCATCGTCATCTTGCGCCCTTTGCGCCCCATGCGATCGCCCGCGTCAAGTGCGCCTAGCTCAGACGCGCTTGCGAATCCGCCCTGGGGGGCCGTTCGCACGACAAAAAAGCCCCGGCAGCGGTGTCCCGTTCGTCGTCCTGGATGTACATACATGGAAGCCGGGTATGGTATCCGTCTATGCATCTCCCATGCGCTCAGAGGCCGAATCTCACGCCTACCCTCCCTATCCCAGCGCCGTGGAACCAATCAAGGCGCAAGCCGGAGAGCAGCAGCATGGGAGAGGGTCCCGCCCCTTGGTATTCCGTGCTGAGAATTGCACATACTTGTAAGACAGAGATGATGCATTTTTTGCTCTCCTTCATCTGCTTAGTCTACATCCATCTTGATCTGGCTGGGGTGACATCGCTTAACCATCGCTCACGAAACATACAATAGACGCGAAACAAGAAGTCAGTTGCTGTCAGACATGTCTATAATAAGCAACCGACCTTGGCCCTAGCAATAAGCTCTTTCATGCCTGGTGTTTTAGCGGCAAACAGCTCACAGTCTAAGCTGAAAATCCCCTTCCCTGCCTTCAAGCGCGCAGCCGCCTGCTAAAAAAGCCCCAGCCAACCCACGCGCCACACCTGGCCCGATTCGGCAAGAATCCTTTCCGCATACTGAGACAAAAGCAAGCAGATCTAAAAATAGCACAGAGCTTTCTTCCCTCTAGCCTCATTCTTTTTGGTACTACTATCCCGTCTCTTGGATCTACTACACCAAAATTAAAGTGAAGGAGAGAGAGCATACAGAAGTTCAAGTAAAACAAGGTCGATTTTGACCCCAAGCGACTGCGCCCCATTATTGTCTTCTTCCCCTTACAACCCGGAAAAAAAAAATATCGGCCCGTTGCTTATTTTCACGACTCATCCAAGCCATCTATATGTGCCCCTCTCGAAAAAAGTACCAAATTATAGTAGTCCGTAGTACCGCAGCAACATACTAGCAACTTAACTTGATAACGCCAAAGTAGTCTATCCAGTAGTTTCTGTACTAAGCCCGAGAGCTTATGCTATTTCCTCTTTACCCCCCTTATTAGTGGACGGCTATCGCGGGACAGGAGCGGTGATTGATTTTTTTTTTTCTTCTCTAGTTAGACTTGATAATATTGTTAGGGCATTCAAAATTCAACACGCTGCTCCAAAAAAGAAAAAAAAAAAAAAGTGCGAGTAATCATAAGAGAGGAGTGATATTGCAGCGGGGCAGTTTAGCAACTTCGTAGATATCAATGAACCCAAGTGACGGAGTTGCTGCCATTCCTGTAATCTAAAATATCGGCAGTTGGCAAAGCGCCGCTTTTTCTCGGTCTACCATTACCCCGTTTACTTTGGTCTTCGCCGACTGTAGAGTACCCAGGTACTATAAGTTAGGAAAAAAAGAAAAGAAAAAGAAAAAGAAAAAAACCCAAAAATCACGCCACAAGAGATTGATTCCATGAATGTAGTTATAGAATTGCTTGGTTCTATTGATTTGGAAGCATCCAGATGCTTGCCTACTAAGCTATAAAAGAAATAGTGGTGGTGCCAGCCACCGATGTCACTGAGACATTGCGCGCTGCGCAACCCATCTAGGTATCTGCTATGGAAATAATTGAGAGGACTGGTAGTACAGCTGGAAGAAAGCAAAACAGTGAGAAAAACAAACCGAAAAAAAAAAAAAGAAAAAGAAAAAAAAAAAAACATGGCTATTTGAGCAGAGAGTAGATCCGTTCCCTGCGGTGCACACCCAATAAGCGCAGCACGCCCAAATAAGACATTACCGAGTATCAACGTATGCAACACCAGGCGCATGACGTGGTCCTTTCGCGAACAGAAAGAATTTCCCAAGCCCAATGTAAATGGCCCAAAATACCCAGAATCCTGAAACAAGAAGAGAAATAACCGAAGAAAGTAAAAAAGGAAAAAAAAAACAGAGGTGCAAATCAAAGTGAACGAGACGAAGTAGTCTATGCCATGCCATGCCGTGTATCCCGTGGCCAATCCAGTTGGCTAAAAGACCCAAGAAAAGTGGACGGGGCTCCTTCGGAGTCGCCTCGCGGCGACCCGAGAAGGCCCCGTCTCAAGAAAGAAGAGACAAGGTGAAAAAGGAAGGCTCAAAAGAGAATGTAATTGCGTTCCCAGAAGCGGCCGTGTCTCTCATTTATCGTACCCAAAACCAAGAGATGACATAAGAAAAAATCCCAATCCCATATGCTATGCATTAAACAAACAGCAGAAAAAAAATAATAGAAACGGACAACTTTCGCGATCGAATGAAAAACAAGGTGCTCGAAATGTCGTAGATGAGAAAGCGATATACTCGGTGCTTCATTCCGCATCATTCGCTAATGCCTAAACCAAGGTATGAGGCTGTGAAGAGGTGGAGTTGTCGCTTGCGGCGCATCATAAAATCATTCGGAACATGCTCCGGTAGGAGAGTCAACTCGTCAATGTCTCATTTCCGTGTCTTCAGTAACGTCGTGAAGGAGGTGGGAGGAAGTCGAGGAGGATGGAGGTCGAGTGAGGAAGAAATGAGCGAGATCTCTGATCAAGATCAAGTTCATATGGGAGCGCGATTAGACGTTGCGCTTTGGCGGCGGTGGCGGACGAGCATAAGGAGAATGGATGACGGATTGGCAGAGTAGAGAAACGAGATCCAGTCGTCGAGCTCGAAGCGAAGAAGCCGCGGGAAGCGCAATATCTGAGGGCCCGCTACCGAAGACAACACCCATCATCGGTAGCTCTTGCGGCTGGAGCGGCCGCCACTACCGTAGCCAGAATCTGAATATGTAGATTCATGTGCGTAATGAGCACTGTGACCAGTATGTGCGCTGCAGGCATAACCGACGTAGATTGTGCGCTGCTCGATGCTGTGGCCCGGTCTTCCGTATGCCGCGCAGCGGTCAATGGCGTGCTGGTAGTAGAGGCAGCGGCAAGCCGAGTAGAGTTCAACAAGCTGATAACACATGGTGCCTTGTATTGTTGTAGGGGCAAGAGTATATAGCGTTTGGTCGACGAATTGGACAAGGTTGCATCCGAGGAGGCAAGCTAGGCAAAGACGGTGGAGAAGGCCCGGTCTGTATCGTGGGCCAACAACGGTTGTTGGAGCAAGCAGATGAAGATTGACGGCAGTTGCTCGCCCTTGTTTGCTGTTGGTTGAGACAGAAGCAGGCTGTTGTGTTGGTGGGAGCTGATGTAGATGCCTCGACAAGATTGATGTTGGTTTCAAGGTTGGCGCTATAGCTCTTTATAAGACGAGCAATGCTAGGACAAGGAACAGGACAGATGAAAGGGACGGACAAGACCAGAACTAGACAAGACAAGACAAGAGGAATAGGAAACTAGGCAAGGAAACCGATCTCTATAGGAAACTGCCGGGGGGCTATGATGAGGTGGGAGTGTGATTGAGCAAGTGTAGCAGGGTGAGGACTGGAAGGAAGAGGCATCGCAGCCTTATAGCTCGTGCATCGCAGCCTGGGTAGAGTGGCCGACGACAGGCGGGAGCCGGAGCAAGGTGTCAAGGTGTCAAGGTTCGAGTGATCGGTGTACAGGATGGAGGAGTGCCTGAGAGCAGGACTGAGGCGTGCAGAACAGGGGCCTGGCCGTCTTCAAGAGAGATCCTGGCCTGGGAGCAGGGCCGCTGCGGGAGGCGTGCGCCGGCATGGTTGGGACGCACAGGGAGATGGTGATATCTGCACCCCCCGCCGCCAGCCATTGCTAGCACCAGAGCTAACGTCGACACAGAGGCACAAGCATATGTAATCCATCGGATGGCTCTGGGGAGCAAGGGTCCATCCATGGTCCCAAACCCTCGTCTCTGGACCGCGTGGATGTGCAAGTGTGGGTTGCGGGAGGGCTGGCTGCGCGGGTGGAGCGCGAGGCAAGGCGGAAAAAAAACCAGATGAAGCAGCGGTTGCAGATTACATGTACTCACGGCATTAGTAGCAGTACCTCTTACTAAAGCAGATGAGGGTAAGGTAAGGTAAGCAGGTGGGCGCTGCACCAGGTCAGCACCAGAACAGCAGGGTTCTCGCAAGTAGACTGAGTCGCGCCGCTAGCCACCGAGTAGCGGTATTGCGAGTGCTGCCTCTGGTGATGATGCTGGTACGAGTACTCATCGCAGTGGTATCATGCGGGAATACCGCCGGGACACCGTCGCCAGGCATAGGGGCATTTGAACAGACACTTGGACGAGAGGTAGTGGCGCGGAATGGATTCGAATACTGATTAGTACTGGCAGGTTGGAATAGCACGCAGCACCAGCGCTGTATTGCAGCACGTTGCAGTGCAGCGCAGCTAGCTGCAAGGCGCAAGGCACCAAGATGATGCCAGTGGCGGATCAGCCAGTAGTGGACGAACCATGGCGCCCCGAAAAGCGAACCGGCCGACGAGGACTAAGCGATGAGTCTGGCCGTGCTGTTTGACAGGAGACAGCGCAAGCACTCGTACGAGTACAAGCAGCACAAGCAACGCGGCCGCTGCAGGGTCGGCGCGCGGAATACGGAGCAGGCAGCATATCCGTAGAGCGTGGCGGTTCTCAGAGCCGTTCCCCTCGGCGAGCAGGTTTCCTGAAAAGGGATCCAGATAGGTAAGGTGCTAGGTAGCCAGATACAAAAATACAAATACAGGTCTGGGTGTACTCGTGTAAGGTGCGCTAGTCGGCAAGTAGGACGGCGAGCAGGGCTTCTTCGGGGTCTGGAAGAGTCACCCGGGTCCTTGGTGACCAGGGGCGTGGGAAGCAAAAGAGCCCTTTGGGGGCCTGGAAGTTGACCTGCAGCAAGGCTGAACTGGGGGGAGGGTGTGCAGCTTGTCAGCTCGTCCTCAGCAATCTGGAGGCGTCGGCTACAGCACTGGGACCACCACTTCCGTGTCTGTAATCGACCACCACCACTAATAGCAGACGGCTATGGAGGCACTTGGAGTGCCTGCATTGCGGTGCAGTGCAGTGCAGTGCAGTGCAGACTGCAAGGGGCCACGAGTCTGCGGATCCAGGGCGCGTATCATCAGCATCATCAGCATCATCAGCATCATCATCATCATCATGATAACAAGACGTCGAGCGAGGCCTTGCGGCGAGGAGATGGCTCTTGCTGCATCCGGGCAAAACAGTCGACGCCGGGGCAGCGATGCCACGGGGCGAAAACATATGGAAGAGGCTGTACAAAATGCCCCGACGTAATTAATTCATGACTGACTTCCCTAAAAAAATGGGCTACGAGCAGTTTATGAATTTCACAGGCAGAGATTCAGCAGGCAGAGACAGTATTGCTTGTCCAAAAGCAGTATGCACGAACCGCCTTTCTGTCATCGACGTAGAGACAGCCGACCTGGTGGGGTGCAGTCGGATTGGTTCGCTCGGCAGCGCTGGTAAGGCTGCCTGGAGAACATTTTGGGCCTCTGATGTCACAATTCCACCCACCAACAGCTTGTCCAGGCGGGCTCATTCGCTGCAGCTAGCAACACTAGCAGCTTTTTAGCACCCGACCCGTGAGGTTGGGATGGAAACAAAACACACAGCATCTCGGCGCGGACAGAATATTCACAGTTCGCCGTATAGCATCCGTTCATCCTGTTTTTTGCTTTCCGCGTCACCAGGCACATGCAAGAGATTTTATGGCACTTGATGAATTGGCATCCAAGGAACCGCTTCCTTCGGGATGGATCATGCGTCATTGGTGGGTATAAGCCGTTCCTGCCTCGATCACTGGCGATGACAGAGGATGGCCCGCCTTCTCTCGGAAGTTGCCAGGACTTTGATTGTACTTGTACAGATGTAACATATTTATCTGGTTCTTCTTATGCGGCTCTTCGAGAGAGTGCCCCCGTGCCTTGCGGCGGTATTCTACGACTACCAGCCTATATCAAACAATTTTTGCTGCGAGTGGATCTGGCAAAGTGGTGGATAAGAAGAGAGCCAGATTATGGCTATTGAATATGGTTCAATAGATTAGTCGGCCTTCTTAGGTACTTTAGCAGTAAGGCGGGTGCCTTGATTCACTTTATTTACTTTGCACCTCGTACCTCAGTAATATGCGTCGTGTCCTAGCATTGGTATGGAAGGTGTGGCTTTGTACACTTGCAGTCGCGGGCCCCGGAAGGCGCGCTGCACCAACAACTTCGAATGCCTACCGGCTAGGTGTGAGTTGGTTCTTCGTCTCCACGCGCAATTTTTGCATCTGCTTACTGCTTCACACAACACCATCATTTCGAAGCCCCCAATAAAGCGCTGTGAGCCGGGATACTTCTCTCTCTCTCCAAATGCCGGCATCGCTCACCGTCTGAAGTGTTCCATGCGCCTTTCCCGTTAATCCGGCCCTGAGATGGAATCGCGGCCCCGCTATGCGTCCGCAGTCGTCGGCGCCGTCAGCATCAGCAGTCGGAACTGGACTTTGCCGAGCAAGGCTCGTTTAATCTTGGGAATCAGGCGAAAAGTGAGAAAGGAGCCAAAGTAAAACAAAACAAAAGACAAAGAAATAAGAAAAAAAAAAAATCATCGGCCCCAATAAGCCCGTGCACCGAAGAGAGAGTTTATTGTTACTCAAGATGCCAGATTGGGCCGGATACCTTGTTCCCAATAGTTACGATCCTAAGCCGTCGCACTTCGCAGAAGTCCATATGGGAGCGTCAGATGACGGCAGAATCGGATATGCCAGAGCGCTAAAGCCCGAACAGTGCTCAAGGCAGTACGTCATACTTTTCACTGAGATATCTTGATCACTCCAGATACGCACGACGATCTGCCGCCCATATGATGAAAGTCGACGCTGCCGCGATGTAGCTGATTGATGCTCAATGTTTGGCGCTCGCTGAAGCTGGTTGACAGGCAAGATTTGGTTACCAATGCTGCTTGGGTCGAATGAGCGCATGCACCACTATGCACATTGCGAACACTATGCGAACGAGTGCGACGGTGCAGGGTACACCACCACTACTGATCTATGCAGGTACGATGTGGCCAACCAGAAGAGCCAGACGCAATGTGGATACAAGCAGCACAGAGCCACAGAAACAGCCTGCAAGCAAGCATGCATTCTATCCCAAGCGCGTGCTGAGCCACAAGGGCCATCGTTCATTCAACAGCGCTCCTCTTGTTTCTCCTACTCACCTGCAGGCCACGGCAAGGGAATAATTCTCTAATGCCTCGCTAGCCGCCGTCACGGGATGATGTGGTTATGATGCACCCATCATCACGCCGGCCCGTCAGCATCGTCATTTCATCGTGTCGCAGTATCCGATGGTAGTGTCGCTCACGTTGCACAAGCCCTTGGTCATCTAGAAGAGGGACACCGGAGGACGGGAGAGTGAGTTGAGCCCCAGTGGGAAAGCATATACGATGATGTACTGGCTCTGTTTCGAGCTTTGAACGCTGTATATTGGAATGGCGCTACCTTTGCACCCTTATCCATCCACGATCCACTTTCTGGGCGGACAAAGTTGATCACAGTCATGTTTCACATTTCATGCTGTGCTACGGCTTGAGAAGCTTGTATTTACCTTCTCTGCCAAAATACGCTCTGCAAGAATCCCAATTGGGATGAAACACAGGCCCAGCTGCAGCCTTACGGCCCATTCAGGCAATGTCATGCAGGATGCTGCGGGACACCAAAAAAGACAGGTAAAAGAAAAAATCGCCAGGTGCGATTTCCAATAGGGTAATGCACACGTCGGTCAGCTACCCAGAGCAAACGGAGCAGACGGTATTGGGAACTGCGCGCAGTGTGGGACTTGGCACTGCATGTTTGAACGAACTGCAGTGCGACTGGGCCAACTGGCGGCCGCTTGCCTCAATTGCATGGCCGTCTGGGGCGCACTTTAACCGTGCATTGCAGCTGCTTTGCACATGGAGTCAAGAACATATTAGCCGGCAGCCACCAACGCTTGAACTTGGGACCAAGCGCATCTGTGCATCCATCCCGTCCTTGTCCCCATAAGCCACGAGGCGGCCTCACAACCCGGCCGCCATGGACCTTCTTGTTCCATTTTGTTTTCCCCCGTGGTCCCTCCTCAGAGATACAAGCCAGTATAGTCATCCCGAAAAGACGGCTAAGGACAAGGCGCGTGCGCCGTAAGAAAATGCGGAGGCAGCCGGCACTCAATCTCACGTGTTCCCTGGCAACCCACCGCCAGGCACATACGCACAGGAAACTCCATCGCTTAAGCCCAGCTGTCTAAGTAGTATATCGCGGTACGATGTAATTGGTTAAGCTTACCTGCACGCATCGGCTGGTTAAAAAAAAGGACCTCTCACTTTTGCACCAATAAGTATACACCACCAGATCCCAAGGGCCTGGTGCCTGAAACACAACCTTTGTTTACACCACTACCTCCACCACCCCGCGGCGGCGTGGAGCAGCTTACAGACACCACCACCACCATGATGCTTTGGCCGAGGTAGCGCACATACATGCGGATTATACTGCCTTGTCTAAGACATGCATTTTGGGGGCCGCGGGAGGCGGTGATACGGTAGCGAAAGACTCATACATGCACGTGAAGCGTGTGAGCAATCGGTGCTCGGTCATATGGTGGCATGGTGAGTCTGGCTGAAAGGCGCCAAGAGCAGGGCCCTACGCTTGTACCCCGAAACATCACCAACTGCCTAGGTAGGTACGCGTCGAAAAAAAGAAGAGCAAGAAATGCATGCTACATACCATGTGTTCCGTATACTGCGCAGCAGTTTGAGATCTATCGTATCACCGCTGACGGGCGATCGTGCAACGGTCGAACGGATGACGACTTTGACTCTGGGAGATGAACAGGGGGCCCCTGGCAGGCTGATGCCAAATATAGGAACCACACTATTAGATCGTCTGTTAGGCCAAACCCAAGGCCTTGGTATCGCTACCCTCCCTTCCGTTTCATCTGCCATTTTGGTTCCTACCTTAATCTTTCCTTACCCATGCTGGTTTTCTGGGGGCCTCCTCTCTACGCGAAATACGCCTTTCCTTGCATAGACTTTATCAGATGCTGCCCCCGACACTGAAGTAAAAATAGTTCTCAGTCCGCGGCACAAGGCGCCTATGAAGAACAGACAGGGTTTGGAGCTACCAGACTCAACAATAAGTCATTTCATCGGCTGTTGACAACAGAGGAACGCATGTCTCTCTTTTTACTTTTTACTTTTTACTTTTCGATTTTTTATTTATTATATATATATATATATATTTAAAAAAAAAAAAAGGAGAGAAAGAGATGGATAACTGGTACGCCCTTGGTTCTTGTGAATTCAGTATCTAGGTGGCTTTGTCAAGTTCAACACTAAATTCCCTATTCCAACATGTCTCGGGAGGGAATTGGTGTCTATACAGTGGGACCGGCCCGGAGGGGCTGGGGACCGACAGCTGTCAGCCCGCCACAATTTCCATTCGCTGATCGGGATAATTGATGCTAAGGCTTGGATGTGTATGAAACATGGCAGGGAGGATTGCAGGCAGTTAAGCGACAGGCGCGCTTCAAGCCGTTCATTGGTGGAGAAGAGAACGAGCTGATGAGTGAGATGGCCTGAACAGCCGAGGAACACTCCGAGATTCTCTTCGTGAAGCAGTAGTCTAGTCAGAAAACCGCCGTCAGCGAAAACAATAACGGGGCCGGTTCTAGATGCTGGACTAGCAGGCCGGGGAGCAGCGGGGACTGCCCAGGCAGGCAGAACACAGAGCAGAAGATGGGCTGGTGAAATCGATCGGCTTCGGGCCTGCTCCTCTCTCACCACTCTGCGATGCTCGATATGCCGCTGCAGATGCTGCGATCCGAGAGCTTCGCCTGGGCGCGGACGGGCACCCGCCGCCCTCTAAATCCCAAAGCGAACATCACCTGCTCCAGGCTGCGGTCGTGATGAGCACGATACGACCATCCTCTTTTCTTTTTTTGCTTCACCTTGCGCGCGGTCGTCCATATGACCTCATGAGGCCTGTCATTCCTCGCTTGCAAAAGTGTATCTACTGGCGACTAGCCCTGCTCCCAAAGCGACCTGCGCGTGACTCGGCCCAGCGTCGTCATCTCCATGCTCATGCTTTGTTCCCCTGCCGCGCTATCAAAGCCAAGCAGCCCTTCGAGCGTGTAGCCCTTGCGCAGCTAAGCACTCTTCTGTTCCACGACGTTCTGTGCATTGCTAATTCATTCCCGGCACTGCTGCACACGCCTCTACTCGATAATCAATCATTAGCAAGCAAGCGCAGCGGTGACTGGCAATCCGGTCGTCGACGCCCCATCTTCGCTGCGCCTCTCACTGTGGCTTGCTGGACTGGCCCGCTTTTCGAACCCCCGTCGCCCGTCCATGTCCGCATCCGGTATCCGCCCCGGAGTTGCCGGCCACGCCAAATCAAAACGGCGACGAAACAGAGCGGCGGGATCGTCGCAATCGTTCGCCAGGTGAATCGCGGGCTCCGAAGTCTGCAGAGGGCGAGGGATGACTCGTGGATTCCAGCTCTGCGAAGGATTCCATGCCGCCTTGATTCTCAAATCTTCGTCGGCAGACACGTCAGTCGCCACAGGAGCCAAAAAAGGAAAAATAAACAGGCACACACGCACTCTCATCGGTCTTCCAGGAGCTCTGTTTCCGAGATACCAACAACTGTTTCCCCATAATAGGTATTCGATTCACCAGGCAGCCGTTGGCCCCCGCGCCGCGCCATCTACAGTGAAGGATGCTGGCTATTATTATGACCAAGGCATGGGAGAATCACGCTCTGTGGCATTTGTAAAATGCCGGAGTTTGTCAGCATATCTGGTGATGATCCTTGCCTTTCAAACTCTTGGTACCTCAACTCCAACCAGCTCTCGACATCTAGTACAGTATGCTATCGCTGCAAGGCTCTCGTTGCTTGGCTCTTGCGTCTAAGGCTGCACTCTGCATGCTCCCAACCCTAGCAAACTCCCCTGCAGCAGCAGCGAGCACTTGACCCGCTATCCCGCATCATGGTTTTTCTTCGATACACCCCCCTTGCCGTTTTCTTCTCATCCCATGCCAATGCCCTAGCAGATCCATGGTTTTTTTTAGGGGACGAATGAGCCTCATTCTCCTATGAAAAATAAACCCCAATTTGGGCTGGCCCCCCCTTTTTTTTAGGTATGGTTGTTCTTACTGACCGCGGCTCAACTTCCGCAGCAGCTAGCCGAAACATTGATCTCCCGTAGCGGTTGCACATCAGAAATCGAGCTCAAGATGACGGTTTTGGGATTTCGCTAGCTTCCGGATTCAATCACCTTTCTGAAATGAACTCGGGCGCTTAATCTGACCAGCCATAGATGCCCTACACCCCCCCTCCTCCTCGGCTCTTTTATTCTTTTGTACGCCTTACATGTCGACCTTTGAAACATTGGCTACTTCTCTTGTATGCATGCGCTCGCCTATCTCCGCCATCTCGCCTAACTCACTGGCCATTGCCAAAGTAGGCCATAACTTTACCAGCACTTTTTAACTCTTGCTATTCCTTACTCGTTTTTGTTGCCAAAATTGGCTTGCTGCGTGCCGTTCCTTGAGCTAGAACAGCCATACCCATAGTTCGTCTTACAAGCAGGCGCTATCCGGGTCCGTTGCTGGCTGCATGCAGTGGAGGCCTCAGACGGAGCACTCAGATATTGTAGAGACGAATTGTATCATTGCACTTCGATTAGCTGCATTTCAGCTTGTTAGAGAATGCGCGCCTTGACTCGCATTTAGACATGTCTACTCGCCAACAAAAATTACGCACAAGCCCTCCAATTCCCCCCACCGTCGTAATCATCCCTCGTAAGCATACTAATCTGTGTAGTATTCCGATACACATCCACGCATTCTCAAATACTTACTACCTAGGCCTAGTACCTATTAGTTCTCCATACGACAAACGATCTTCTTCCTGTACTCCCCTTGTTTCAACATACTTCCATGAAATTCTAGGCCGTCGCATCTGCTCCACCAAATCAGCCCTATGGGCACCCACATTTTCCCGCTTGCTCTAGGCTTCTTCCGCAAGCCTGGCTATGAATAGCCCATTTCACGTTTCTGATTGGCTCTCTCTTCTCTTCTTTCATCTGCATGTAATATCCCAAGTCATCAGGAGAAAGAGTCATATGGACAAGCGTCGCACCTATGGCAAAGCTGAAAAGGAAAAGAAGAGAAGAGAGAAGAAGTCATTCTCGATTTTACTCTCCATTGTCCAAATGGGGAATTTTTGCGAAGAACGTTTGCGTTTTATTACACGTCAGCCAAAGAGAAGACATGTTTTGATTGGCCGAGACGTAAATTACAGCAAGATTAAAGTCTTTTCAGCTCATTTAACTTTTTTTATGGCCGTCATTTCTAAAATCGAATGTTGCATACATTTTCGTGCTTGAGTTTACTGATCATTTTATTTCTTTCATGATGTCAAACAGTTTGACAAATCGTAGAGGACACATATGGTATACCTAGAGGAATTGGCGTTTCTTTTTCTTCCCAGTATCCGCTTATTTAGCATACTTGTTTTTGGTTTCTTTATTAAAGCGTAAATGAGAGAAAGAGAGAGGGAATAAAAAAACACCATCTTTTCTCTTCTTCTTCTTCTTCTTCTTCTTCTTCTTTTTTTTTTTTTTAGGTTTCTAAAACTCTTCTCTTTTCTCTCTAATCTGTCTAATTACTATATCATGAAACTCCAATGCAATAAGTAGCATTCGGAAATAGCTCCAAAAAGGGGAATTACCACAAAAGAAAGAAAGAGGGGAAAAAAAATCAAGGGGGGAACGACTGAAGAACGATATGGCAAGGAGGGAGTATCACATGCCAAAGTAGAAAAAGAAAAAAGAAAATGCAACAGTGTGAGAAAAACGAGATAGTGAACGAAACACGCATTGAAACAAAATGTGACTGGTGTGATATCTTGCCAGTCCAGTATGTAACCTAATTTACGTCCATTTTTTTTCCTTCTCGACTGGGTCGTCGTTTTGTCTTGTTGTGTTGCAATTGGTGTATAAAAAAGGCTTTCAAAATAGCAAAGAAATTAATAGGAGGTCCTGGGGAATAAGGGGGGGGAATAAAGGTATAATGGCAAAATAAACATGTGGCTTAAACAAGAGAAAAACATCATACACCATGGCACGCCATGAAAAAAAAACCCCTTGCAAGTAAGCACGTAAAAACGCTAGACTAGACAAGACAAGACAAAAGCCTCCTTTTTATGGTGTGTGTGAGATATCTTTGGTAATACACTCACTCCCTCGACCAACCACTTTCGATAGCCGCACTAAATCCCAGCATAGCCTTTTCCCATCTCCTTGTCTTTCCCCTTTTCTTCCGTCTCCTTCATTTCATCCACGCACAAGGGGAAAATACCAAGATAGAAACAGCGGCTCGTCTAGTCGGCCGAGAAAGAACAAAAGAGGTTGTGTATCATCTCGTCTAGCCCCAATGCAAAGAAAAGGGAAATTAAAAACAAAATCAAGCCAGCGAATAACCAATGAGTCATGATGATCATCAAAATAAAATGCCAATGACCCTCTTAAACTCCCAATATGTTATAGTTCGTACACTTTCTTTCGAGTTAGTCGAAAAATTGGTCCTAAGGTCGTCGATTCATAGCCGCAGTTGCGCCCGCGGCAGCGATATCCCGCGTTCCGCTCATAATCCGGCCTGCGGCCCGTGGCAGATTGCTGGAGCTTGATGAACCAGCCATGCCCGTCATACCTCCCGCCATGCCTCCAGCACTCGTCCGCCTGTTTAGACTTGCCGTTGTAGCGGCCGTAGCCCCTGAAGCTCTACGCGCAGCCGCGGGAATTGGCTTTCCGGGGCTGGCACCCACGCTTGCCTTGCTTGAAATACCAGGCGGATCAGGTAAAGGACGAGATACTGATATCGTGTTGTAGCGTTTTACTGGGGATGCTTCACGCATCGGTAAGCGAGGAGTTGGAGTGGGCACCTTGATTCCGGTGATGAATTCATGCCTGACGGCATCCTCAGGTTTCAATCGGCGGTCAGGGTCCCATCTGAGGCATCGGGCAACGAAATCCAGGAACGCCTCATCATCACACTTCAACACCTGCTGTAAAGTCTTGGACGATGGGCGTCGTCTGCGGCCTTTGGAGGAGACTGTCAACCGGGGTTTGCCCATGGAATCGAAAAAGAGCTTCTTTCTTGTGCTCTTTTCAATGAGGTGCTTCTCGGGAGGACCAAAGACCTCCATGATGCATGCCAGCTGTTCCTGCTCGTTCTCACCAGGGAAAATGGGAACACCAGTGTACAGCTCAGCGAGGATACATCCCACACTCCACATATCAATAGGCAGACCATACGTCATGCCTAATATGACTTCGGGTGACCGATAGAATCGAGATTGAATATAAGTATAAACCTTTTCGCTTTCAAAACAGCTCGAGCCAAAGTCGATGACTTTGATTTCGGCGTGGAGCGGGTGACGCAGCAGAATGTTTTCTGGTTTAAGATCGCAGTGAATTACCTTCTTCTGCTTCAGTATAATCAGGGAACTGAGGATCTGCTTCGTGAAGCGCCTGATGATGCGCAAAGAGAATCCTCTAAAGGAGTGGGCCTTGATGAATTCATAAAGATTCATGTCCAAAAGTTCCGTAGATATGCAAAGATGGCCACGGAAGTAAAAGCTTTGAGTGAAGTTCACCATGCTGTGCCTGTTGTGAGGATCCTGTACAAAATGTTAGTTGGCTAGCTAGCTCACTTATACTCAACTGGGTCTGAGGGGGGGCATGTCGCCCATTAATACTCACCCACTCGCGAAGCTTTTGTAGGATGTTAACTTCAACAAGGGCTTGCTGATGAAACCTCTTCTTGTTCCTGATAATCTTGACGGCGACGAGAACTCCAAGTTTGTGGTCAATACACCGGACAACCTGACCAAAGCTTCCCTTTCCGAGGACATCAATGACCTCATACCGATATGCGAGGTGGTCACCAATCACAATTGAGTAATCTCCACGTTCATCATCGTAGCCAAAGTTCGGGGCATCCGATGAAAGATCACCCACCACCTTATTGGCATTCTGAGTGCCGCAGAAATACACGTCATTGTAATCAATAATCTCACCCCGTTCATAAATGTTGAGCATGGCAATGCGAATTGCCTCGTGAGGACCAACCCGCTCTTTGGGCGAGGCTCTCCTTTTCAAGGCATCGAGGGTCCTAGCCGCAATTTCCGTCTCTTTGCGTCGAGATCCCAGTTTACGCATTTCCTCTTCCGCAATAACATCGTCCTTGTCAATTTCGGCAGTATATGAAGTAGCACTGGGCATAGCACTGGAAGCTGTCTTTGGTCTCATGAGTTTGGCCATGACAGAGGGGTGACGAGCTGGTGGCATGGTTGTAGGATCGGCCGCAGTGACATCCTTCTTAGCGCTCCAGGGGTCACTCTTGGTTCGATCGTGGGAGAGGTAAGCATTGTTCAAGCTAGTGGCAGAGCTCTTTCTTCTCTTCGTCTCAGCAAGTCCGTGAGGAACAGATGCAGTAGGCCCAAAATGCTTCGCGGTCGGGAGAGAATTCAATGTGGCAGATGCGGGTATGCGAGGAGGCGGTATGCTCTCCTGTTTCAGACTCTGCGCCTTGTCTACGACATCTTGGGGTGGGACAATACCTCCCTTCGAGTTACCCTTTTTCCAAGACAAGCTCAGCTTTCTCCTCAGCGTACTCATTGAGGACGGTGTTTGAGGCTGCTCAGTAGGTGGAGCCGGCGGAGGGGATTTGGGAACAGGCTTTTCTGTATGTGGTGGGCGTGGTCCAGCAGGCTTTTGAGGCGCCTTTTCATCAAAAAGCGTCCGATTGACGCGGGTGTGATCAGAACCGGTTTTTGAACGCTTCAGGAATCCATTCGCGGGTTCGTTTTTGGGGAGAGACGAAGATAAGAACGGTGACATGCTGGATTTGGTGTCCAAATCTTTGAAAACAAGCGAAGAATCCGTGGAAGATGTCGTCGCATCCGGTATGCTTGGGGTTCGGCGGTGGTGGGATCGATGTGCTGAAGTACTGCTTCTAATGGACGGCATTGGCTCCATAGCATCATCATATCGCGATTTTGCAAAAAAGGAACTTTTCGACGCCGTCATTGGTGTCGTCGGCGTCTTGGGGAGCTGTCGCGAGGCTGGCGGGCTCATGTTTCGATTATCTTTGCCATTTTCCTGCAATGCAGCCACCTTGGCTGCGGTGGGTATGCTCAATGGAAGAAGATTCAAGGGCGGCAGCCGCAGAGGTTCCAGGCTCTTCTTGTTCGGCCCGCTCTTCTTGTCGTTGTTCGGCGGCGCTGCAGGTGCATGCTGAGCGGTCTTGACGCTCGGCTTGCGTTGTAATTTGACAGTTTCTACTTGAGTTGGCGCTGAAACATTGGTGGTAGAGTTGCTGCTGTTGAGATTAATACTGATGCTGTCGAGAGTCCCAAGGCTAGACTTCTTCTTGGCCAAAAAGTATGTTTCAGCTGGGGGGGTATCCTTTGGAGATTCAAAAGCTTTGGGAATTGCAGGAACAGGGGGTACATCTTCTTCATCGCCCGAGGGTAGGGAGCCATGGCTTGTAGCATGTTTGGGAGCTGGTAGTCGAGAAACAGACGCCGGCTGTGGTAAGCGCGGCTGTAAAGAGCCAGTTGATGTCCTCACGGTGTTGAAGCTAACAGTAGATCCAACGGAGAGACCTGAGCTGTATGATTTTCTACTAATATCTGGCGTTGTCCTAGACGAGGATGGTGTAGCCGACGCCTTTCTCGGAATCATTGATGGTGACCTGGAGGCGGCTCGCGTCTCCATCGAAACTGGCGGAGGCGGTGGTGCATTTGAAACTTGATTCGAACTCGTAGATTGTGGCATCATGGACATACGCTTCATTCTTCTAGTGTCAGTTGGGCTTATGGTTCGGGCGCCTAGTCCGGTAGCATGAGAAGCATGACCGGTAGGCATGATGGATGCCCGTCGCCCTCCTGAGGATGGCGTTAAACCTGCGCCTCCAGGAAGCGGTGATTTGGAAGTATTTCGATGTTGCTCAGGAGTGAGCGAAGTACTGGTTAGGATGTTTGTTTGGCTGACCATCGGAGAAGCCTGTACCACGGATTTGGCCTTGACGCTCCTGGTAGTGGTGGTAAAGCCGCGGGTAGTATCGCCGCCCATGTCGAGAGAAGTCCTCGTCATGTCGCTAGTCTTTTCGGAGAAGAGGCTGGGACGGCGTTTGGAGGCGCTCCGCGTCACTGTTTCCGCGTCGGCAACGACGCCGGGGCCAATAGATTTTCGAGGGGGTTTGGAAGCGGCACCTGAGCCAGAAACAGGCGGATACTGGCTCTGGCGACGAGTGCGCACCCCAATAGTTGCTGTGGAGGCATCGATGGAGCCGGACGTGGTTGAGATTGACGAGGCGCTATTCTGCCTCGACGCGCTTGGCCTGTGGAGGATGGACCCCGATCTGGTGGCCCGAGAGGACGAGGCTGAAACACCCACGCGCGTGGCACTGCCATTGGGGTTGACAGCCGTCCTGTCGGACAATCTCCTGTCGGCCATGCTTAACGAAGATTCAACGTCACTGCGTGACGCTGCTGGGGAAGGATATTTGTTCGGCCTGAATTCGCCGCTAGATGCCGCGGATTCGATGCTGGTATGGAAGTCGTCGAAGCTCACAGAGGGTAGGAAATCGTAAGAGCCGGTAGAGGTGATTGTTTGTTCTGTCTGGCTTGCCTGTCCATTTCGGCCGTAGGAGAAATGAGAGTGGTTGTTGGAAGAAGCAGTGCTGAGCATTGGAGAATTCGAGATTGAGCTGTTGCTCCTCGAGGTTGCCGTCGGTACACGACTAGCAGGTCTGCTGTAGGATCTGTAATTGCCATGGCATCAGGTCAGCACTCTTCTTCGTCCTCTATCCGGCCTCTATTTCATTCTCCCCCCAGCGGAGAAGTAATGGCCGGGTCCAAGAGTCTCTCTCTGTTATTTTTGTTTTTATTTATTTTTTCAATTTTTTTTTATTATTTTTTTCCCCTTCTTCTCTTGGCGCTGGGTGGGAAGGTCGAAGATTCTTACAGGCGAGAAGACGTGTTTGCCGGTCGGGGCCCAGCGGGCGTCTTGTGCTTTAAGGTCATAGAGTAAGCAGCGTCGCGAATGGGAGCGGGCGATGTGGGTGTGCACCTGCGTACACACAAAGAGGGTCGTTTCGCTGGGAGCAGCGTCAAGCCTCAGTCCGGTCAGGGAGCTGAGAGCGATCGAATAGCTACCTCATTCCGACCCGGGGCCTGTGCTCGTCGGGGCTGTGGCTGCGAGGCAAGCGCGGGTCTGGTCGAAGCTCGCGAGACGCCAACGGCAGCGGCCTGCCTCCCAAGATGTCTGGATTGCCGACGGCGATGCGTGAAGCGAGAGGGAAGAAAAAAACCGAAAGGGGCGGCTTGCTAGACGACGACGTTGTTTTGCGTGAATCGGGGGTTGCACACTTTCAGTGGACGTTGGGGCCGTCGACAGCGCCAGCGCCAGTGGCCGTACCGGCGGCAGCACCTACTGCCAGTAGGCCTAGGAACGCTCGCGCTGCCACCGCACTAGCAGCCTGCTACCAAGGTCGGCCAGGCCCACTGGGGCGCGGTGGCCACTTAGCGGCTGGAGCTTGGACGGGCAACCACAGAGAAGGGTGTGGGTGGGGAGGTCCCGGTACCTCGCGCGGTGGAGCACGCGCGCCGCCTTGTGCGGAGGGAAGGCCGCGGCGCGAGGGGAAGGCCTGGGCTGCGCAAGTACCGGTACAACGCGGCGGCTGCTTTCGCCAGGCCATTCCAGCGGCGTTGCCTCGTCCAGAAGCCCCAAAATGCTTGCCGTCTTGACACCACCAGCTGCATCTGTATCTTTGGTTTTGGAGGCGGCGGCGGCTGCCAAAGTCGCATTGCCCAGAAAATACCAAATTGCATTTGGCTGTTTTACGGGTACGTGCCGGGTACTAAATTACTCCAGGCCCATCCCAGATACGACCGTACATGCTTCTGCATCAAACTCCATTTTATAAAATGAGGAGCATGAAACGGATTTCTGTCAATTTCAGCTCCCGTCCCATTTTATTTCACGATCTGTTTTACCACGATTTCCCTTGTCCAATAATTAATTACCCCCCCGCTAATTTACTACTTTCCCGGGAGAAATGTCAAACAGTAGATGCAATGTAATACTAATTGCTTTTCTTTTGTACTTTCCAGCATTTGCAGGTGAGGGCAACACGAAGAGCATGCTCTGTGTGCTAATTTACTTCATGTTGCCACCATGGCGTTGAACCACATACGATGCTTCTTCAGCTTCACAGGGGCCGTGGTTTATACGTTTGTTGTCATTGATATCCTTTGATTAAGTGCATGATATATATATATATATATATATATAAAACAGAATACAACGAAAATGCTACCATATCCCATTTAAACTAGTGCTGCATCATGATCCAGGTGCAGCTGCAGACACTTTTCTTTTCACCAACCTCACCCATCGCCTCCGCCTCCATTCTCCTTTCTTACCCGTGCCATCATCTCCCTCTTCCCAGCTTGTATGCGGCATCGATACACCTTTGAAGCTTCCCTTCTCGGGCTGATCGGCCACGCCAGTGCGCTCCTCGCGCTCGTTGTAAATATCGTACACCCACCGCTCTCCTTCCGTTTCAACTTCCACTCCCGTAATGATACGCTCTTCAACCCAGTCCCTGCTCCAGAGATCCAAAGCCCACTTCTTCTCGCTCCACTCCCATCCTTCTGGTGGCATCACATCCTCAAAGAAGCGCGTGCCACGTGGCCGCTCTCCAGCGATGCGAGGCTGAGACAGAGGGTCATAGGGCGACGGGCAAAAGAGCCAGGCTTCCCACTCACCTGCCCCAGATGCTTTTTGTAGTTCAAAAATCTCTACTTCGCGTGTCTCCGGTGCCGAGTCAAGGATAACATCAGTAGCAATCCAGTCGTCCATCCACGTCTTTGCTTTTTCCTCTCGCGGCTGGATGTGCTCCTCGCGGGTTTCCACCAGCAGACGGGAGACAGCAGGGTGTCCTGAGCAGATGGCGGCCCATCCGCCTATTAGAAAGACAAATCTCCAGGGAATGATGTGTGCTGCGATGGTCATGGAGATGCCCGCGGCGCAGAGGAAAAGGAACACGGCCGATGATAGCGCCTCGTTGCTGAAATTGCTAATGGGTACCAGCAACGACACCACCATATCGTGTCCCTGAGTAAAGTCCTCCATGCAGTTCTGCAAATCGCCCATATTCCGGAAGAAGTCCTTGCTCAGCTCCTTTGCAGGGCGTACCGTCGCCGCCGGCGCTAGAGGAGGCCCCTTTGGTGAATAACCCATACTCTGTTCGCTAGATAGAGTGCCTTTTGGGGGCGCGGGATGCCGCGCTAGGAATCCTGGTATGAATGCGCCTAGGAGAATCCCGACAATGGGTAAGACGAAGAGGAGATATGGGTCGAGACAGACGAAGGTGTAGGTGGCGAGCAGAGATAGCGTGTGCGACGGCTTGCGCCAACACATAATGCGGGTCATTCGAGCCTGAAACTTGAAAACGACTCCGATTCGGGCGTTGAATCGGCGAAAATTATTGGACATCGTGGTGAGATTGAAGCCAGGTCGTTGCGGGAATGCCGCACCGTCTGCCGATATGGGAACATCGGGCCCATGATCGTCTTCGGCTGGAATGACTTGTTGAAGTAATCTACACATCCAACATCAGCACTGCGTCCCCTGCGGTCCCTTTTGCTATCTTGGCTATACAGACTTTTCTACCAGGCGGTCTTGGATGTTCGCCTTCTCTCGGAGGGCTGCAAGGCCGCTTCGCAAACCAGATCGCTGCGGTGACGCCGTTGATGGATCTAGTTCCGAAGGCGCCTTCGGCTCTGGCGGCCGTTCTGGCGATTCATCGCGCCTGGCTGCTAGTAATTCTACCGCGAAATCATCCATGGCATATGAAGAGCTAGCCAGCGGCAATGCTACTTTCAGTGCGCTCTCATGCTGTTGATGTGATGCGTTGTTGGTGATGGCACGATACCAACACGAGAGGTCGAGGTTAAGCTTAGCATGTGACGCGCAGCGGCAAGCGATGATCTCACTTGTGGCGTAGCGGCGCCACACCCACACGGACATACACTCCAGAACGCACCCGAGATGGCGATTCATCAGCTATCCATTCTGGGGAATCCGAAAGCGCTAGCCAGCGGCCGCTAAAAAGAGGCTTGACAGCTTGCTCACTTGGCACCACCAGAATATCTCTCTCCAATTGAACCTCCAGCATTGATTCAACAGCTCCATGTGGCTTGCAATTGCTTCAAGAAGGATGGAAGGTTTAGCCGCGGAGCTGGCGACATGATGCATGAGCAAATTGCGCCGCTGACATTGAAACCCTGACAATAGCTGCTGCTACGAGTAATGGGCATGTCCACCCTGTATTTATTTATGGAGCCGGTCCAGGTAAGATGCAGGTCTACTCTCACCGCAAAGAGCTACTACATGCACGACGACGGTTTTAGACGCCGTGGATTGAAGTCGGCCGTTGCTACGGCTCCATCTTGACGATACGTGGCGGACCGATGACACAACTGTGCAGCAAAGGCTTGACAGCTTGGTGGATGCTTATGGAGCAACGGGCAAGCCTTGTGATCTGAAAATATCGTGGCAGCGGCATTCCGATATCTGTTCTCCGCACTCTGTATGAAGTCCAAGTCCAGAGAACATGTCAGTCGCTGTATACTAGTTGGTCACCGTGGCTAACCTGCACACTATCCGTTGTGACGAATGGGGTCAAGAGGTGGGAAGACCAATCGGCAAACAATCTATCTGCTGATCTCCAACAGTTTCCATCAACACGAATAGAACGACAGAATAGTAGCAGATTGCAACCCAATGAGGCCCGTAAGCACTCAACACCCAAGTAACAATACCCAACAATGGAGATGATGAGTGAAGGAATAGGGAATCACCACTTGAGAGCTTCCGTCCTAGCAACGGGGCACTGCAGCCTGCACCACTCTATGCGCCTGCAAGATCTGACGCTCTGCAGCCAATCATGGCACCACTTTGTGCGCTCAAAAACAACCTCATTGGCGCATTGAGAAATGGGGACAGGCAGAAAACGGAGACCCAGCGACTAAAGGGCATTGCCTAATTGGGCCGCGGCACATCAACAAATATCTAGAGCTGATTCATGCAGCTGCAACTGCAACAACGGCGTTGGCAACGCAAATTGCCTATTACCTACCTGTAGGTAGTTACTAGGTAGAAGTACACCGCGCATACTTGTAGTTGCAAAGCAGTATACGTTAGTGATGTACTTTGTTGGTATCAGAAAAAAGTATCGTGTATGGATGGAAAAAAGCGAAGCCCTCAAATGTCGGTGGCTTCATATGTAAGACGTGGCGAATCAAGATGCGCCATGCCCAAGTATATGACAAATAACAGACGACGACAACGAACCGCATGACCTGCACCTGATGACCAACCGAGCAAGGCGCACAGGCAGTGAAACGCCTCAGATTCGCTTCTTTATTTCCGATTCCCTCTGGTAAAACGTCTCATCGCCATGTTCTGTAATACCATATTAGATTAATGCTATTAGATGGAGGGGTTAAAGTGTGGAGTTGGTCAAATGATAGGCGAGATAAAACGAAGAGACAAGTAGCCAGATAGGAAAAATACCCCGGCACTTCTCCTTTTTGCTTTCCCCAGCGCCACCGAAACAGAAGTCATTTCTTCATGATACGTGTAACTCGTATACGTACTTCGTATTATATGCGGAGACATATGAGCGCAATGAAGTGGGCGCTTAAGCAAGGCAGATGCCCGATTAATGGCGGTACCCGCTTTTGCAATCCATAACCAGATCTCACAAGGAAGAAAAGCCTCTACACAGATTGACAGAGTACAGGCGGCGAGCTCTTTGGGCACGTGACGCTCGTAGCCGCTGAGTAAGAACTTGTCTCGTTTCATAGAGTCGTGTAGTTGCTACAGAGAAATGAGATTGGTTACATGAAGAGATTAACACCGGCATTATTCGAGCCTACAGAACCACCCGTATTATACCTGGGAGGTAGTAAACTCCTAGCTGCCGTTATGCTCTAAGCACGGCTAATATAACTATAACTGAACATTTCAAAGACAGGAGAGAGTATTGTATGAATTTTATTGCCCGAGGACTAAATGACTAAATCGTACATACTGCACGACTATCCTTCTGAGCAGTATCTTTTCCTCGAGTTGCATACACCACACCTATTGGTTCTCAAGACAGAATAATCGCATGATAGAATCCGTATTGTCGATAGCAAGAGGATTCTCCCACATTCGTAGGATTAAATCCAGAAGAAGCTATTCATTTGGTTAGCGTATTAGTACCACCTCAGAAACTGAAAGTCCAGAAAACATGCTCACAGTTTTTAAGTGTTCATCTGCGGAAAACGGTAGACTTTTCTCGCGCCAATGAGTAAAATATGGAAGCTCAGTAATTGCCATGATCTTACTAGGTATTCTTCAGGGCTATTGCCAGCGTGTCAATTACGTGTCCGGGAGTTGAGCATTTTGACTTTGTTTATAGCATAGTTGTAGGCATATTCAAGCTCATATATAACAAAAAAAAAAAAAAAGAAAAGAAAAGAAAATTGCACGAGATGAACAATAACTGGCATCTTTTAACAGTATATTTGCTGCACGTGCGATGACTTGTCTCAGGCTAATGTTACCGCTTACTAGATGCGCAGTATCTGATCTATACTATATAGAGAAGAACAAAACGCCAACAAAAATAAACAAAAAGAGATAATGATAGTTCATTTCGCTTTGGTACAGATGCAATGGAAGTTATTCCCTGGCTTCATTACGTGAATCGTTAAACCTACCCTCGGCTCTGCCACTCATCTAGAAAGAAATGATGAAGCCATCTCGGGTTTCATGACGATATGACCATCTTATCCAGAATCTTGTGGATGCCAGCGGCCTTTCCGGACCCGTCGTCCAGCTCCTCGACCAGCTTGCGCGCCCTCTCGATGAGAGTTTCGACCACCTTCCGGGTATAGTCGAAGCTACCCTTGGACTCCATGAAGGAGACAGCGTAGCGTTTAACCTGCTCGTCCGTGGTCTTTTGCTTCAGTATGCTGATCAACTGCAGATCTACGGGATCGGCGCGAATGCTGTGAATGACAGGGAAAGAGAATTTGCCTTCCGTCAGGTCCTCGCACATGCCCTTGTTATGGCTGTATTCGCTTGAAGAAAGATTCATATAATCGTCGCGGATCTGGAAGATGAGGCCGACGAGGTTGATGAGAGGTACAAGGTCGACGTTGGTGCTCGATTCTGCCTGCATCAGCTTGATGCCGAGGCGGAACAGGCCACCCGTTTTGTTCCCTACCATCTCTAGGTAGTCATCTTCGGTGGGGCACGTGAGAGTATCTCTCCAGAACAGATCCATGCCCTGGCCGCGGTGTAGATTGAGGAGCTCCTCGGCAAACAGTGGAATGACATTCTGGTTGCCGAGCTTGACGAGCTCCTGCAAGGCAGCAAAGTATATGTAGTTGGCTGAGTTGATGGTTTGAGCTACGCCGAAGATGTTGTGGGCGACGGGGAAGCCGCGGCGGAGCTCGGATGAATCTTGGACGTCGTCGACGAGGAGGGAGGACTCGTGAAGCATGCCCACAACCTTTGTGATAATTGCGAGGCTCGCGGGGGGGACATCGAGGAAGGCATTAAACGAGGAGATGAGCTGGGCACGGAAATCTTTGCCCGGGTGGCTGACGACGTAGTCAAACGGACCCCTTACAATCCTCTCCTTGTCGTCATTCCACGTTCCTCGACGGCTGAAATCGAAGTCTTCGCTGGCAAACCGCGAGGGGTCGGGGGGCGGCCCCGGATTGTTTTGGTGCTGCATGCTGAGCACACCGCGATTTACCCTCTTGCTCCTCCTTCGCGGTGGTGGCTCAGGGTGCAAAGACCTCTTTCCTGAGTGTCCTGAGAGCTTCCCTGATCCGGAATGTTTGCCTAGCCGCTCAGCCTCGCTTTCGATTAGGGGTCCGCGGCCGCCGGGACCTAAGGGGTTGAGAGGCGAGAGGGACGAGCCGAGAGCGTTGGCAAATCCAAAATCCTGGCGCTGGGCTTGAGAGTGCAGGCCGCTGCTAGAGGTTATCGGAGGGAGGGCGTTGGGAGAGATGTTGATGTCGGAAGGCATCTCTGCTGTCGATGTGTGGCTGAAGCTGTGTTTCTGAGTACAGTACACGTGAAAGTGGCGCCGCAGCTAAGGTGTGGATATCGCGGGGCAGTTTGAGACACCATCGCTCCCAAAACGCAGCGCAACATGCCGTGTATTATACTTCGTGCGAAGTACTTTCGGTGACAAAACCCTGGATGTTTGATAGCTGTCGTATCTGCACCGCAGCGGGGTTTCTACTGGTTGAGGGGCACGATGGAGAAAGTTTGAACATTTTCTTGCGGCATTTCAGATCGACGCCGCCTTCCATCGGATTAGGATGCCCGATTCGATGTTTTGTGCAGAGGTTAGCCTCAAGAAGCAAGGTTGCCTGCATGTTTGGCCCTTAATCAATCGCCTGACTGCCGTTTGGCGGCGCCTCGTGACTTGGCGATAGGTTTACCGAGCCTTCCTGCCTGCACTAAGGCCTGTGACAGCGGCGATGGCGTGTGAGAGTAGACACGTAATATTGATAAGAATGCCCATTACGTCGAACGATATGATAGCCGGCTTCTTGAGCTGACGTTGGGGCTCGCGCTCGCCAGATGGCAAAGTTACCGGCCTGGGTTGACTGGTCGAGGTGTGCTGCATTACGCTGCCTTATACTTCATCAGCCGCTCCTGTCGCCAAAATTCACCTCAAGGATGACGGTTCCAGCACTCCAAAAACGTATAGATGAACGATTCGTATCCATTTCGCCGTCTTTTCCGACGCAATGTCTGCGAACTGAATGCTCTTTCTGTAGCAGAATTGTTGGTTCTTCGAAGGAAAATCTCTCGTTTGGTCAGCGGTGCGGAAAACCATGGATTAGACAAGGAAGAGGATCATGACCGGGAAAGCGAGGGGTGGAGGATGGATTTCAGCTGCTGCGAGATCTTTGGGTTCCATGCCAGCTCTCGAGATCGCTGCTCTGTCGTTGGGAGAGTCTCTGCTTGCTTTAAAAAATAGCCTCCACTCTTGTCGGCTGCTCCTTTTAGTTAGCAGCGGGCGGCCTGGATGTCCACATATATGTTGATAGTAAGTAGTAATCCTGCCTTGGAAGAAAAAGAGGCCAATTGAGCGTTGGAGCTTGGCAAGGTGTTTGATAGGACTACTCCGTAATGTCGATGGCATCATCGCCATTCTTGCCTTGGGCATATAATTGGTGAATCAGCAAACATCCCAGTCGCCAATGCCAGTGCAATTTCCAGTCCCGTGGGTTGAGCTTTGAGACAGCGGATATCGAATCATGCTGGGTTCAGGGATCCTGTCCAATCGTTAAATGGCTTGCAGCGACCGTGCTGCAAGCACTCCGGTGATTTCAGGGTCTGGCCAGGCTTTCTCGGCGGTCCCGCGCAGCGCTAGCAGCCTATGACAGCCTATGACAGCCTATGCCGTGGGACATCCCAGTGGAGCTCGCGCGCTATCAAGCTGCCTGTAGCCACTAAACGTCTGCCTCTCCGCCTACAATTTAGCATGCCGCAGCGGCTCCCTTTCATGGTTGCCGGGGAAATGGACGACCAGCAACACCTAATTCCAAAACCGGCTCGCTGGGAGCTTCCCGGCAGTCAACTTTTGTCATTGCCGTAGAACGCATTTCTCATCCTCCCCTGATCTTCTTTACTTTAACTCTCTTTTCCATGTTTTGTTTTTGTCACCAAGTCGCCTTTTGATACCCCCATGCAGTCAATGCTTTATTTCTTTGTTCTGGTCTTGTATTAACATCTTTGCGCGCGCACAGGCATCCATCCAGTCTGCCAGGAGCCATCTTCTTTTTTTGCCCACTCGATATTTTCTTTTTCATCTAAAAGCAAAGTTCATCCCACCTCCCCGCCCACTAAAGAAAGCTGCCAAACTAAAAGGGCTGTTTTTTTCTTTCTCTCTTTTATTAATTTGTTGTTTTATCGCTTCTTTTCTTACTGCAGGAAAAGAGATCAGTTGCTTAACCACACAGTGTTTACCTGCCGCTATCAATCGCCGAGGCTTTCAAGTCTTTGCCACCAATGGAAGCTCTCTTGTCACTCGCTTTCGATAATCTTTCGTCATATGATGGACCCAAAATCCGCAAGGGCTTGCGCCAAGTAGAGGGTCTTCTAGCACAGATCTGCCTATCCAACGGGTCTTCAGGCCGAGCACGGTCTACTTCTGTATCCTCGACAGCGCCTGACGACTACGAAGATGCATCCGGCACAGCTCCTCGCAAAGATCTCGCCCAGCTCACCCAAGACCCGGCATTTCGAGAGTTCTTCAAGCTGCAGGAGGGATTCGAATGGAACGTTGCTATGCGCTTGGTAGGCACACTAGATCGGCTCATGGCCAAGGGTAGTGATGGTCAGAATGACTTGCTCATTCTCAGTGCACTGGACCTCATCCAAGGCGTCACCCTGCTGCATCCTCCGAGCAAATCTCTGTTTGCGCGAGAGCAGAATATGAATGTAAGAGACATCCCTAACGGCCATTATGGCGAACACAAACTTACTCTTTTGGCCAGCTCTTATTAGATCTTCTCGAACCATATAACTGCCCCGCGATCCAGTCAGCTACCCTCCTGACCCTGGTAGTCGCTCTCATCGACACTCCGAACAACACACGCACCTTCGAAGGGCTTGATGGCCTGCTTACTGTTACCTCTCTCTTCAAATCTCGATCAACCTCTCGTGAGGTCAAGCTAAAGCTCGTCGAATTCCTCTACTTCTACCTTATGCCCGAGACACCCTCCGCCCCTCGAGCTGACCAGCGAGAGTCTGTGTTCCAGCGCAGCCCTTCGAAGCTTTCTGGCGCATTCCACGTCGATGCTAGAAACGGACGCAAGCGTGCCAATAGCAGCGGGGTTACAACTTTGACCACGGCAGAGAAACAGCAACTTCTGAGTCGCCACCTTAGTAGCGTGGAAGACTTGGTCAAGGATCTGAGAAACTGCGCGCCATTCGGTGGTATCGTATGCTGAGCCGGTACCGGCATACAAAAGTAACGAGTGGATGATAGGAACGTTCAGGGCATTTCTTCTTCTTCTTCTTCTTCTTCTTCTTCTTCTTCTTCTTCTTCTTCTTCTTCTTATTCATTGATCTGTGCCAACAGTTCAATGAAGCTTTTTCTAATCTTCAAACACTTTACTTTCTTGTCTCTCTTTTGCTTCCCCGAGTTAGCCTCTCGATTAAGTGTGAGATGCGCAGCGTTAGGCGGAAATTTACAGTCACTTACATCAAACGACTGTAAGCATGAAGGAAACATATGCAAGGATCTATTTGGTTTTCTTCACTTTTTCGCTGAAAGGGGGCATCTTTTTCGACATATGAATTTGGGCGGTATCGTGTATTATCAGGCTAGGCGTTGACTCAATAGAAATGGCATATAAACTTTCTAAAAAAAGATAACTCCGTTTTCCTCCTTGAACTAGACCAACTGGCAAATACTCCCTTCAGTTATCGTGATGAATTTGACTTTGAATCTCGTTTCTGCTCCTCCGGTTGGGGACTGGGTTCGGGACTAGCTGGCGAGGGTTGCGGCCAGGCCATTTCCGTTCCACCCAATTCAAATCGACCATCTATTGTCTCCGGTGTTCGAAGTCCTGTCAAGGCAAAACCGGTGATTTCAGATTTGGGCGTCATAACCTCCGAGCCGGCCACTTCTGACAGCGCTTCCGACCCAATCTCGACGGGGTCTGGGGCCGACGACGGAGACCTTATTGTCCCGGCGTCAGTTACAGCCCCCGAGGGGGTAAGCGACGATGCCATTGTCCAGCGCTGCCGCCAGGTTCGAGGCGTCGCCGGCGCGGTACTCATGGTAGGGCCACTTGGAGCTGCTGCATCTCCATTGACATCTCTGGGCTGTGGATCAGCCGGATTGTATACGTGATTCGCCGCCGCCGCCGCTCTCCGTCTTCTGAACAAATACCACACGGCTGCCGCGACAATAAGGCCACCTCCAACCACGCTTCCGACAGCAATACCCGCTTCGGCTCCGGCAGAGAGCCCTCCAGAAGAAGATGAGCCACCGTCACTGGGCGCGACGAGGGTGCTTGTAGGACCGCCGGTAGCGGTGGAGCAGTACGCCGACCCGCTGAACGAAGTGCACGTCGCTCCGTTGTTGCAGCACCCGTTGCCGTCGGAGCATCTAAACTGGCTTGTAGTGCAGCTGCCGGTTGCAGCAGGAGTCAGGCCCGGCGGAGGCTTTGTCTTTGTGAAGACGCAGTTCCCGTCCGCCTCGCAGTTGGTATCGAATGGGCAGCACTCGCCGCCAAGTGTCTTGGCGCAAAGGTACTGGCTCGTCCTAGGACAGGAGCGCCCACAGCATCCTGTAATGACGGACGTGGATTTGCTCGTTATAGTGGTTTCCTTTGCGCGAGTTTGTGTGGGCGAAGAAGTGTGGGTTAATGTGAGGGTGGTTGTGACGGTGCAGCGTACGGCAGAGGCAGGACAAGGGTTGTTGGGAGCGCAAGTCTGGCCGATTTCGCAGCATTTTGGCTCGAAAGATGTGTTTAAAAAGCAGTAGCTGTCATTATCGCAGCAGGCATCACCGTGGCCGATATCGAGGCCTAGTGAACAAAGTTAGTATTAGCGGCGATCAACGCGTGTATAATATGGTGTGTAAGTGATGCTGATATCAATCGCATATAGCATTGGACGTAGAAGAAGAGGGGTTGTCGCCTTACAGCTGTGGTGGTTGTCACCGCAGATTCCATCGCGCTTCAAGAGCGGTTGTGACCTATCGAAAACATATCGCGGCGTCAACCCTTCTGGTATAATTGGCAGAGCAGCGAATCTATCCCGGGCGGCGCTGGCGGTAGCGAGGCCGGAGAGCGAGAGCACGAAGAGGAACCTCATCTTCAATCGTGGCTGGGCGGCGACAGTTGCATCCTTTTCCCTTCTCCCATCTACTGCCGCTCGGATTTCCCCAGCAAGAGCTCTGTCGCGTATCTGCGTGGAAAAGAAACGAGATGGAGGAAGAGAAAAAGAAAACAGCGAAATCTCATCGCACCAACTGAATCACAGCCTTGTGTCTTTCGTGCAGGGATTAACTGGCAACAGCGGCGAACTAAAGAACCCCAAATGCCCCCATCCGCACTCACCCCTGCACCATGCGACCCCATCCGGGCTGTACATCCTCATCCAGAAGGGCACAATGTAAAAAACAAGTGACATCCCATCTGCTGCCGTCCAACCGTCCAACCGTCCAAGAAGAGAGGCACAATGGCGCCGCATGGCCACCGAGCACACACCGTATCCATACATGCATGAATGCAGATAACACTGAATACAGGAGCGGATGCGCGGCGCAGGATAATCATCCTCAGCTGTTCCTAATGACCGAACCGACGTACTCGCTCAGCCTTCGGGCAAATTGTGCGTGAGCTGACATTTGGTTGCTGAATACACGGCATTCGGCCTTTCCCTCAAGAGCGTGAGCGGTGTCTTGGCTGTTGGGCAAACCGGCAAAGGCTGGTTGGTGAGTGGATGGATCGGGGCCTTGTGGATGCGATTTCATTTACTGTGCATGAACGGCGTCTGTCCCCTCTTTGCTCCGAGGCAGCCCTTGGCCGTGCTCACGAGACGAATCCTTTGGCAGATGGGAGAAATTCTGCGGATCACATCGTCAAGACTAAACAATATATTGGTGTAGACGGTTCTAGGTTTGTTTGGGAACAAGTGCAGTGCAGTTAGGCGGCTTGGGCGCAAGTGCTTACACGCGCAAGTCACGAGCATCTAATCAAAAATGCATTGTCTCGGGCGCTTGCGAACAATCAAACATTGTTACTACTAATAGACACCTTACTAAGAAAGGGCTACCAAAAACGGTCTTATCATACATCATCCCAAGAGCCTCATACATGAGAAAGCGCGTTAAATCCACTCTGGTATAGTCCGATTTTCCTTACTGGAGATTTTCTCTCCTCCCAATTTTTTGTTTGCCAAATGAGATGATTCAATCCATCAGTTCTCCCTCGCGACACCGCGGTCGGCGCAGAACTTGTCAACCTCCTTCCGCAGGGTGTCCCTCTGCCGCAGCGCTGCCTCCATGATATCCTCGGCAACCGTGCCCAAGCCCTTCTGGTGCTTGGCCTTGGACAGATCATGCACATTCACCATCTCTGCCAGCACCGCCTCCAGCTGGTTAGGAAGCCAAGTGACAATGGGGCTGCCACCGGTGGCGGTTGGGTGGGATGTCTGCTTCAAGATGTACTCCCTGGCGAAGCACCAGTGGCGCCAGCGGAAGTCTCGCACCTCGTTGAGAACCTGGATCCATAGGCTGCAAGTCTGGCGGAGCAAATCCTTCTCTTCCTCCGAGGTGGGCTCAATCTTGTTGCCCAGAGCATAGTCCTTGAGATCCAGCTCTAGAGAGCGGCCCTTGACGTACTGCAAGAAGGTTTTGTGGTTGCTGGGACGGTACTCACGGAAGTCCGTCAGGATAGCCGTCAGAGGGGTGTTGGGCAGGGGAAGCTGAAGGAAGTTGTCCATAAGGGGCACCATGGAGTCATTGGCGCCAGATTCACCTCGGAACGACTGGGGCTTGTTGTCAAAGAGACCTTCATAGACGACACCATTGGGGAACATGGATTGGCCAGTGATACCGAAGATGAAGGTGCGGAAGCTGGTGTAGTCTCTGGGACGAGACTTTCCCCACATGGTCTCCATGACAGAGTTGATCTTCTTCATCGCCGTGACGATATCAGAGAGGCCTTCATTGAAGGATCTACGCCCCTCGACTGGGTCGGGGTTAGTAGAGGCCTTGGAAGCTTCTTCTAAGCAGCGCATAGTGGCCGCAACCAAGGGGCCCGAGTTCTTGACCATGTCAATGTGGACAAGAACGAAGCCGGCCTCGGATGAAGTTGGGTCAAGGCCATGTTCAAAGGCACGAATGAGACGAATGTTATCATACTCCAAGCCCTTTGCGGGATCCTCAAGACGGTAGTTGTAGAGCGCATAAGATCCAGCATACTCCATGAAAGGCATAAAGCCGGTGCTGTAAGAAGAGAAGAGGTCAGCCTCGAATATTTCACCAAAGGGTAATGACTAATAACTTACAGCTCAGCACATCGAGCGATAGGGCGAGCAATGTTCTTGGGAAGAGTCTGGCGTCCTAAGCCATAGCCTTCGCCCTTGACGAACCGTTCATGACAAGGCTCAAGAAGATACGCAGAAGCAAGGAACGAGTAATCTCGGTAGAGGGCATTCATCAGGGGGAGGTTTCCCTTATACAGGTCCATTGCATCAGTGAGATCAGGGAAGTTGTTGTCAACTTCTTCACCGAGCTTGCTGTGGGCAAGAAGACCTGGCTCGCCAGACAGAGTCTTGACGGGCATACGCTGGAGGATAGACTCTAACGCATCAAACTCCTTGGGCAGAGTGGCAATAGGGTCTGCACGAGGGAGGAAGCCTCTGGTGGTGGACACCAAGAAGGCAGGGAGGGAGTTGTCATCAGGACGAGCATCTGTGAGGACCTCGAATGGAGGTACGCTGGTGCCCATGGAACCCATTGTGAATATGAGGGATGTGTTGGTATCAAGATATGATATGATATGGCTTGGAGTGCGTGTAAGTGTGTAAGTGCCGGGAGGATGGGATGGCTGGGTGGCAGTCTTCAGGGGCTGAGATGCCAAGGAGTGGTAGAAAGGGCAGGTGGCAAAGAGGAAACTTGCTCTGTGAAGTCTGAGAGAATCGGGGGACAATCATCGTCAGTCCGGGTCCGCGCCGCCGCCTAAGTACCCGGTGGCCGGAATGGATTCCGGCCACTCGGTGGGGATGAGGTCACGATGCACGGGCAGTATAGGCGGGTCGAGACAGCCCTTGTCTCCGTTAGAGGAAGGTGTCCGGAGGCTAATGCGAAGACTTCACGTAACAGAAACAAATGGAAACCCGTTATCTAATGTCCCAACATAGTCAACCGGGCGAGAAAGGGGGTAGCATGACCAAGAGGACGAAGCAAAGGCGAGCTATACCGTGTGTGCTCAGCTTACACGCATACTGTCTTTCAGTACCACTTGCTTATAGTATCACGAAAACAGTTATCTCTCCGTAGGTCAATAACAATGGCATAGGAGCATTTGCAACGGAAAGTAGTTGTTATCGCCATCTCTATCTTCCAGGGGCAGCCCGGGAGCATTTGTGAGACACTCACCGCGAGGGTCCTGATAAGGCCCTGCAGCATCTGTTACCGTATGCCGTCTCTGCCCGCCTATCTTGGAGTAAGACAGTCTCGTCCATTGTGGGGGAGGGGCCGGTTTGGGGGAGGATTCGCCCCACAGGCTACCGATACTGCCCGGCCTTTTTACTGGACCATTGGCCGGAATCATTCCGGCCACGCAACGAAATCGGACCCGGCCCTTGTTCTCTCTAATAAGCCAGGTACAAAGAGCCTGGGCTGATGCAGCACGAAACCCTAGGTATCTTGAGAAGCGGGCTCCCCTCCGTGCAGCCCCCGTGCGCCCTCCGTGGCGCTCTACATGTTTGATTTGAACCAGGGTCGGACCAGTTGGGGACTGGGTTGGGGAAACGTTGATTAATGGAAAAGATGTGATTCGTTCGTTGAACTTTGTTGCTGGATAGCAAAAGGTGGGAGAAAATGGGGCGTTCCAGGGTGGCTGAGTTTTCTCTCTGGGATCTGTGGAGTAAGCACGCATTGCAAAAACAAACAAGAAGTAATAGAAATTGACTGTATTCGTGTAGTCAAGTATGATGGACAAATATGTGACCGCCTTTAACGCCTCCTTTATCCTGAACCGACCCAGTTTATCCTATAAGCAATCGTACAAGCCATTCATCTATCATCTTCATACAGATCTGGCAGCCCTCCGCACAGTCATGAATCCGCTCGACATCACCGGAGGCGATGCTCGATGAAAGGTCATCGAAGTATTAGAGCTGAGAGAGGTGGTTGTTGGCTGTATTAGTGTTGGCTGCTTTAGCTCTGTTTTAAAACTTGCTGGTGATGACGAGCTGGAAGGTCGAGCAGCATTTGCCAACGTGGTTTTTGGAGGAATCGCAGCAACCTTGTCACTGGAAAAGGGAATCAAAGCCTTGGATTTGCTTTCCTGATGAGGGTTCGCATCAACAGTCTCCTAAAAAGCGATTTCTAAAACTTACATTCGCAGAATTGGTTGAAATTGTGGTCAATGTAACTATCGTCGTCGGCGCTATGGTGACCAAGCGCGTGATACGAGTCGTTGAGGTGACTGTTATTGTGGACGTCTCGGTTAATATATCTGAATCATCCAAGTTGACAGAAGCCTCTTTGAACAAACCCCCGATGGCAGCTACCAATAAGTTGATTAGTGGTTGAACTATGGCAGCCCTGCTAGGTCAAGGAAGGCTTGCCTCCTGGGGTAGTATTTGTTTCTTGTTGTGGCCTCGCAGGCTTCATTGCCGCCATGGTGGCCTTGGAAAACTCGATATCATCGGGGTCCTGGGAGGAGTGTTGAACGGGAGTGGAAGAAGAATCTAGAGAAGAGTTAGCTCTGGATGCCATCATACCGGCGATCTCTTCTTCAAGAGATTTGATTCTGTCCAAGATGCCCTGTAAATGGGTTTGGGTAATTTGGATTGTAGTCTCATTGCTCTCATCTGACGCCCGGGTGGCAATCAATTTGGGAGGAACCTGATGGAGTTGAGATGAACCATCAGAAATCTGGGGGACGGTAGCGTGATTTAACTGAGCTGGTTGACTATGAGATACTCTCCCGTGATAGTGGTGGTGGTGTGCAAGACCCAAAGCGAGCCCGAGAAGGGGGAGATGTTCAAGAAGAACCATGATGATGATGATGATGATGATGACGATTACGACTGTGAAAAAAAATGTTACAATATCACTCGAAGATGGAAGTAAATAATGGATGAATGATTTTGATCAATTTGGGGGCAGAAAGAATTCACGGAGAATATTCATCAAGATATATATGGCGAAGGAGGTGGGTCGTTGTAAGGAGCAACACATTCCAGCGGCTGCGATGGCGACGGCGATTTTTGTTGCGTGGCTGCCGAATTCCAGTTACTTATAACGGGACACAGGATGAAACAATCACCTCTTGCAAGCTCAATTTATTTGTGAATAAAGAGGTTTTCTAGACAAGATAGGCTAAAGAGGGTAGGAAAGCAGCCCGTTTTTTGAGCATATATTGGACACGAAGTTGATGCTGCACTTGCATTGAGATTAACGCTCTATACCGAATTAAATGTGCTTTGCCACGAGATTCTACATAATTGGTTTAGTTTAATCGATAGACAATGTCTCAGATGGAATTATGATGGTACGTCCTCTCTCGAATGGACCATACACTGGCTGGTGGGTGCGAGATGATTGCTGTTCTCGATTCTCGCTATTCTTCCATAGATCACTTCCATTAACCACTCCAAATATATAAAACGACAGAGATAGTATCCGATTGAGTTTGTCATGGTAATATAAATTCAAGTGATGCTACGTGATGTTACGTCCAACTAAACATGACGGTATGTTGCTCGGCACGAAGGCTTAATTCATCAGTTGCAATTCCTCAAGTTTGCCTATCTATTCCAAAACCGAAACCTAAGATCCCCATGCGCAACAGGCCTTGGAGTAAGAATTACCTAGATGTGTGTAGAAGTTCCGCGATGATGGAGAATTTCAGTATTCCAGTCCAAATTGCATCTAGGTATAACGAATCTCACCTTCATCTGAGACCGTGCAGGATGCTTGAACTGAGAAACAAACACAGTGGACGCCGCTCCAAGTACATTCAACTATCTTTCAAAGAGTATTTCGATAATATTGGCTACATTGTACAGTCTTGTTCAGATTCAGGTGACCTTGGTGAGGTCATTTGTTCGATTGAATGGATGGTAGGAAGGCTGTGAAGTCATGTCTAATCACCGTTCATTTAACATTTTACATCAGCGACTCGCTCATTATGCTATCGATGGACGATTGTGCGCCAACTTGGTGGGATAATCCCATATCAGTAGAAGAAATACAGATGCAAGAAATTCGAGTTTCTTGCTTGACCTGAGAGACCAAAATTTGTAAATTATTCAGCCCATTAGATGACATTGAAGTGCCTTGTAATTTGCGTTCGGATCCAAGGGGGTCAGATGAGATGCCTTCGGTAAGCTCGGGCTGTGCAGCAGTAGAAGCCAGTAGAACTGATGAAGTCATCAAGGGCTGGCACAACTTGGTATCCACAGCTTCGGCCGCAGCCCTGAAGACGATCTACGCAAATTAAAGCACATGTAGATGGAGAAAAAGCACTGTATGGAGGCAAATGGGGCTCAATAGTCAGGAATGGCGCAGGTTACTCGCTTAGGACATCATAAGCGTTGCGACCGCTGTTCGTAATTGCAGTGAATAGTGTTGATCAAATTCATCACGATCAATGCCATGAAGCCGTCTATTCCCAAATGCTACTTTGCATGTTGGAGGTTGCTATTTCGACGCTTGATGAGAATTGCTGTCGCCTTGGGAGCGTCGACTGCTGTAATTGCCACCGAAACCGGAAGCCAAGTTTGATTGCCAATGGGGTGCCGCCTTCGGGTAATTAGAAATTGGCTCGTGGGTGAGAAAGAAGTGAAAAAGGATGCCAAAACACTCACGGCTCCTCAAATCTCAAAGCCCTCGGCTTGTGACTGGATGATTTGTATCCAATACTTGAGCATGCCGCATGTTGAGGCTAATCCACCAGGTTGCGGGTACAAAGGAATGTCCCCAGCTACTGCTTACCTAAATGACAGGCCGCCTATCAGACGGGTGCGAGCCAAACCTTCCCAAGTCCGTCGCAGGGCTAGCCAGACTAGCCCTTGATTGGCCAGCCGGATGCCCAAATAATGCGAAAATAAAAGCCACTTGGGACAGCTTTCTTCGAAAAAGGGCCCCTTTCGGATTGGAGCACTGCGTGCGCTAGTCCATATCGGGATGGATCCTAAGCGCGGCCTGAATCTTCCACCCCTCGCCCTTTGTGTTGGAGCGTCACGGTCCTGCTGGCCCATCTGCGCCAGCTACGAACAAGAAACCTCTGGGCTGCCCGATTTTTTACGTTGTGCGCCGCCGCCCTTCTGGCCCGAAAAAAAAAAAAAATGAGGATGAGACCAAGGCCCCGAACCTTACGAGACAACACCCCAGAAAATGAAAATCCCTCCGCCTCCCGCCTCTTTTTCTCCCCTCGCCTCTCCGCAACTCTTCGCCCGCGATGCACCAGCGCTCATGACATGACACTATCACCGCCGGCCTGCTAATATAGTCCAGAGTTCCAGAGTTGCCTCTCTGCTTGCTGCTCCACGCAAGGCCCCCAGACCCCCTGACCACCACGCCGGATCACCACCAGCATTAGGTATTAGCCCATCGCCCGTGGTTCAGAGCACCGCCAAAAAACTTGCGCGGCCTTCCCGTCATCCTCATTTTTTGCTCTTCTCCATCACTACCAGCGCTCCGCCATCACCACCGTGCACCGTCAGCGTCGCTCTGCCACCGTGCCATTGCCAACGCAAAACCCTGCATCGCCGTCGCCCATCATACCGTCGTTGGGCCGCTTGAGCGCCAGCACCGTTGGCACGGCCAAATATCTAACCACTGACTTGCTTGCCTACTACTCTTGAGACGGGAAAGAAAAAAAAAAAATTCTTCGACCTAGACGCGATGGCTCCTCCCAAGGCAGCTGATGGCCGCCGCAAGTCGGCAACCAAACACGGGCTGCTCGTCACTCTCAGCGTATCGCCGGAACTGCTACGCGATATCTTCCCTTCCGTGTCTGTCAAAGAAGCATCTCAATCCCCAGAGTCAAAGCTCTCCAAGGAGGATTCGCAGATCAAAGAGTCGCCGGCTAGCCCGAACGCGCTGGTTGTATCTACCATCTCGAATGGAGACAATGCATCCGACTCCAATGCTGCCACACCGGCCGCCGAAACCACACCTGCTCCTACGCCAATGGGACCTCCCGCTGACGGAGCGAAGAAGAAAGGAGTGAAGCGATCTGCGGCTGCTGCAAATGGCACCATTGATGGAGTCCCCAAGCCAAGAGGCAAGCCGGGCCCTAAGAAGAAACCTCGATTGTAAGTATCCATGTGCTCTCTTTTTCTTTTTCTTCTTCTTCTTCTTCTTCTTTATACATGTAACAACCTAGACTATTTGAACAGTATGCTAATCAAACTGCTCCGTACAGGGAGGACGGTACTATCGACCACAGCAGTGCAGCAGCTCGCCCTACTGCCCACAAACTCGGTCCCAAGGCCAATCAGGGAGCCATCAACGCAGGCCTTCGCGCCCTCGACCGTTCTGGCAAGCCTTGCCGAAAATGGGCCAAGGGTGGCTTCAGACTCAAGAGCTTCACTGGAGTTGTCTGGGAGATACCACGATGGACTGCGCCTCCGCGAACCGTTCCCGACTCTGGCACCGAAGACTCGGCTGTCCCCTCAGCCGAAGGTAGCAACAAAGAGAACAAGGAAAATGGAAACGAAGCCAACAGCATGTCCAAGGACAACAGTGTTTCTAACAGCAACAGCGGCCCTGATGTCGAGATGCAAAGCGCGCCCAGCATCCAGGCCTCATCACCAGCACCTATTGCTGTAGCCACCGCATCATAGCATCTTGCATCAAGCTGTCTCTTCCATCGTTTTGCATCCCACGATGCAAGTGTTTTTTTTTCTTTCTTTCTTTCTTTCTTTCTTTCTTTCTTTCTTTCTTTCTTTCTTTCTTTCTTTCTTTCTTTCTTTCTTTCTTTCTTTCTTTCTTTCTTTNTTTCTTTCTTTCTTTCTTTCTTTCTTTCTTTCTTTCTTTCTTTCTTTCTTTCTTTCTTTCTTTCTTTCTTTCTTTCTTTCTTTCTTTCTTTCTTTTCTCTTATCTATTTCTTATTACGTTCCAAACCTAGAAAAAAATTGGGCTTAGGTTATCTGCATTTTGCTTCATCGGCTCCGAGGATGGAAACTCGGGTAACATGATAATATCGTGTCTTTTACAAGGCGACGGCAAGTTGTCGCTGGGCGTTGGCGGGAGGGATCGAACTGCCGGTCATCGAAGGATTGCGCAAGCTGGAGTATCGGGATCATTGTCGGCGTAATTGTATGTATGTAACGGTATACTCAGGGTTTCAGAGTAGACAGGTTGGCATGGTTGGCCAGCCGGGGCAATACAATTTTTTGCTTTATTGCTGTGTTTTATATTAGGTGTGGTATTTGTTTGCCATTACTTCCAAGTGCATGCCGATGATGAGAGGCGATAGAGACATCTTTTCTTGATTTTGGGGTGATGCCCAACCTATGCAGAGCAGATGCTGTGCTACATTGCGCGTGCCTTGTGAATAGCCCTGCCTGTGCAGTCTAATGAATGTCTCGGATTTGGAACAGTAGCGCAGCAGCAGCACAGCCCTTTTCACACAACTGGACCTGCATCATCGCAGTCAAAGCCACTGCACATCGACTCTGTGAAATTATTTCTATTAACCGTCTACCCCGTTGTTTCCAAATCTGCATTGCCAGATTGCGCGGCAGATGGGCCAGCCTCATCCTACTAGGTAATCTCGGTTCCCTGCTCTGGATGACAGCTTACTTTGCGCGCGGAGGGTGAGCCATTTATCGACAGTGGTTTGTACATTCTTGGCTCCAGCTCTCCTCGCGGTGGCGTCGTAGCAGTGTTCCCTGGTTTGCCGCATTACTCGTTTAGCCCCAAGCGGCCATCACATTTTATCAGACTTATACTTTTTTTCCTGGCCCTTATTTTCGTTTTAGCCATTGGCGGCTGGTTGGCTTTTGCTCGCTCATTCCCCCACACGGCGCTACAACCTGAGCAGGGATGAACGTACAGATTTAGATTGCTGTAACGCAGTTGGGCGATGAGGATATTAGTATTTGACCCGTTGATGAAGGCCCAGGTGTTGTCGCGCGGTACTGCTGAAGTTGGGCACATCGTCGACCTGGAGCAGCTTAGTCATTATATAGGTAAGTGGGCTATGCCGAATTGGACGGCAGTTGTGCGGTTAGTGCTAGGTACATTACGCCTTGCTTGTTATAAGCTTGATTGCAGCGTGGACGGTACATCTACGAGTTTGGACATGAAGATGCAAGACACTCTCATCAACTACTAATGCTTAGAGGCACTGCACAGTAGGTTGTCGTAATAGCCATTATAATCCGTGCCCCTTGGCTTACGCCTTTGTAACGCACATGCCGCCTCGGGTATGTGTCCCTTGCCCCTCAGGTTTTCTTGTTACAGTTCCAGTGCCAGGTAAGAAGCATGGCAGCTTGAAATGTCACTTCAGAAGCGCATGCGACGTTGATCAGAAAGTGGCATGTTTGGCTGCTGCTGTAGGGGGCAATCAAATCAACCCGCCCGAGGCAAATGGAAAACAAGCAATAAGCGCGCTGAAAGCATTCCATTTGGCCGCCAGGCCCAGGTTGTCCCGTGATGGACGTCCTGCAAAGCTCAGTGAGTGCTCTTGACGTAAAACATCTGATCAGCGGCGCCAGAAATTCGCTGTTCCAGGCTCGGCGCTGCTCCACCTTTTGCTCCCTACAGAACCCGTGATGGCCGCAGCGATAGGGAGCGATAAGTGCTATCGCGCAGCAGAGCAGCGTGCTAGTGCCAGCATCGACTTCTCCACCCGTCAATGACAACTACGACACCCACCAGCACGACACCTCATTACGGGCGCCCAACAGCAACGCCTGCGAGCTGATTGACCCGGGCTGTCACCGTGATCTTTTGCTGCACAGTCTTGCCTTGTCGGCGTAGCTGTGCCTGCCATTGCTGCCCTCATTGTCGCTTTCTGAGCTGCCGGCGCCCACTCGGTTGACGGCTGTTGCCACGAGCTCATCGGCCCGCTTTCAACGCCGATTCCCCTCCCTCGATACGCAGAGCGAGCTGCACGGCATCGTCACGGCATATCTCATCTGCCGACTTTCACTTCTGCGTCTTGTTTCTTGTTATATGCCAAACCAGCCTGTCGACATTCACTTCCATCTGTGCACAAATACCGTCAACAACCGTTGGTTTGCGTCCCCGGCGTCGTTTCATCCCTCCAGCTACCTGTATCGGGAGGAGACCGGACCTGGAACGAGTGGCGCGTTTGACTGGAGCTTCCAATAAGCTTCAGTAACTGAACTGCTCGCTTGCCAGGCACGACTCTCCAATCTCTTCCCCTTGAAGCGTTTGCTTTGCTTGTTCTTCCATCTCCATCTCTCCTGCCCTATCATGTCCAGTCCGGAACCGCATGGCTCATCTGGCTTCACAGACTCGGAATCGTCTGCTGAATCCCTCGAATTTCAAGAACATCAATACACAGCGACTCACACCTCCGCTCCTCCCGGCGAAGGAGGCGGTTACAACTTCTATACGCACCCTGCCCGAACATCCGTGCTAGACGCCAACGGTGACTTGGTTCTCGATCCTACGCTACGTCTAGGGCCCGCGCCGGCCGCAAACTCGACTGAGATGGACTATGCGGCGGCACAGGGCGATACGGCCAACGTATGGAGGACCCCTGGCGGCAGCTTACCGTCTTTTTCTCGAGCTTTCGACTTCTTTGCCTCAGAGCCTACGAGCGCCACAGTAGACGACGACAGATTCTTCGTGCCATCGTATCTAAAGGGATCGACATACGTTCAAAAGTTGGAGGAAGCATACAACAAGAAGCTGGAAGCTCAGAAAGAAGTGAAGCGGACCAAGGGGAATGGGCAAGATATCAGCGCCTCAAGTCTCAGCACGACACCGCTGCCTGGTGGCGCACACAGAGGCATGCTGCATACCGTCCTGGAAAGAGCACCGTTTGATGACGGCGACAGTCTAGCGCCCCTTCCTAGGCACTGGAACACAGCAGATATGTGGACTTCAATAGAGGTGATGCCAAATATGCTGGGGCTCAAATTCTCAGGACCCAAGAACCATCACGAGCGCGACCATGAGGCTAGCGCCATTCGGGCGGACCATTTCATGCCTCCGCAATGTGGGATATATTATTACGAAGTACACATTATTTCTGGTAAACAAGATGAGTATGTAGCAGCCCTATCAAGGGCAGCCATCAACTCATAAGGTTACCAACTAACCGTGGCACTAGTACAACCATTGCGATCGGATTTTCAACTAAGACCGCATCATTGTCGCGGCCTGTAGGCTGGGAACCAGAGTCTTGGGGTTATCATGGGGATGACGGCCGGTGCTTCACAGGTCAAAATATCGGCCGAAGTTATGGGCCCTCTTTTACGACTGGTGACGTTATCGGTTGCGGAGTCAACTTTCGAGACCACACGGCATTCTGGACCAAAAATGGACATATGCTAGGTAGGCAATTGCGAGAGGGCGTACATGAAGCTACCCATGTTCAATGATTTGCTAACAAGAGGTATGACAAAAACAGGATTCGCAGTTCAGGATATTCCCAGACACAAGCTATATCCGTCTGTCAGTCTGAAAAAGCAGGGCGAGGAAATATTGGTCAACTTCGGACAGGAACCGTTTGTCTACAATATTGACGACTTGATGAATGTATGCATACAAACTTTGGTTCCTTTCCATTACAGTCTCGCGATTGTATGAAGATTTATTAACATGGGCTGTGACAGGAACAACGCGAGAGCATCCAGAGAGCCATTCAAAGGACAGATACTTCACATCTTGAGCCAGGTATGAATGAGACGGATCTCATCCAAACCTTGGTATTGCAGTTCCTTCAACACGATGGCTATGTGGAGACGGCGCGTGCTTTTGCAGAGGATATGAAGCTGCAAAAGGAGGCCCTGAATTTGAATCCGGACGTAACGGTGGACGGTGTCAATATCAAGGATGATGAGGATGCAAATAATCGACAGCGTAAGTTTGATTCCGCTCTTTTGTATATCGGCACTTCACTCTGACATGATGATTAGGAATTCGGCAAGCGATTCTTGACGGAGAAATAGACCAGGCACTCAAGTACACCGACATGTACTATCCTCAGGTCCTCCAAGATAACGAGCAGGTGTATTTCAAATTACGGTGCCGCAAGTTCATCGAGATGGTGCGAAAGGCTGCTGAGCTGAGCATAAAATACGACGGCAAAAGAGGTGGCGACCAAGAGATGGACCTGGATCTGAATGGCAGCCACGGCTGGGGAGACAACATGGAGACTGACGGCGGGGACCACAGAGCGGAACTGACCAAGTTGGAAAACAAAATGCTCAAATACGGCCAGTCTCTGCAGGGAGAATATGCCGGCGATTCGAGGAAGGAGATTGGTAAAGCATTGAACGAGATTTGGGCGCTCGTGGCATACAAGAACCCGCTCAAAGAGCCACAAGTTAGCCACCTGCTGGAAGAAAAGGGCCGAGTGACGGTTGCTGAGGAGCTGAATTCTGCCATTTTATGTGAGTCTGAACCCGAACCCTCTCTTTGATTCATGGACAGATTTCTAATATGTATTGAAAAATTTCAGCATCACTCGGAAAGTCATCCCGAGCATCACTGGAAACGTTGTATGCGCAGACTAGCGTGCTGCTTGAAGACTTGCGAAAGGATGGTGGTCCCGGTGCGTTTGTGTCGCTACAGGACGTGGTAGATAGCATTCAACAGTTTCCACAGGTGTGAAGAGACTATGCTATCGCCATTCCTCTGCCCGGGATGTGCATAGACGCAGCGATTTTTGGCCCTTCTGTTCACTCCTCCATTTTGTATTCTCCTCTTCTCTCTGGGTTTAATCGTGTCTTGGAGTTTTGGCGCTAGGATTTCCTACCTCTTCATCACATACGCACTTACTGACTCCCACTCTCTTTTAATACCTTTATCCCTTCTCTCCTTCCTATCCTACCTTGTTTATTTATTTAAGGGGTGGTATTTTAGATTTAATAGGGAAATGGGCGGTTAAGCGGACGCGGTGCGTTCAAAGTCAAGTCAAATGGAAATATTAGGGACGGGGTCAAACTAATGAATTGGCTGTGATAACAATCATTTTCTCTCCTGTGGGCATGTAAGACACTTGGATATGTACTGAGCTGAATGTGATGGATTGCTGTACAGTAATAGCATCGTGTTGACTAATGGCAAGGGGTTGGTTTGAGCGGCTAAATATATTTTTGTTAAGCAATATGTATGTGTACGCGCGTGTGTATATGTGTTGTAATGATTAGAGAGATTGGAGTCTTTCTTTGAAGAAAGAAATGTAAAGCGCCTTAGATACAATTGACGCAATTGGGAGTTATACTTTGTCACTGAATATATATATATATATATATATATATATATATATATATGCTTTACGAGATGAGGCATTCATTTGCTTGTTCTACCGAATCATTGCGGAGCTGTGTTCTAACTGGATCTATTCCTTTCTATTTTTCTCCCTGAGATTCCGGCCAACAGCTCTCATAAAGCCTTCTCCTATGCTCAACCAAGTTACCAAACTTTGCCAAGCACTTTGTCAGCGAATTATCATCCGCCCAGCCAAACTCTGGATCCAGGATCAAGTGAGTGTAAGCAAAGACCTCTGCGTCGAACAGGCCTGGTTCGGAGCTGCCAAAGAACCACTCGTCGTCGGAGAGGAGGGCTGAGAGCGAGCGCAGGGCGTCGGTGGCGTCGGAGAGGAGCTGGAGGGGGGAAATGATGGCGGAGCGGGTGGTCTTGAGGATCTCGGCGGTGGCGGCGTTGCGGAGGGTGTGGAGGGAGGGGAGTTGGAGGATTGGCGAGGGGGGGAGGTAGAGAGTTGAGAGGAGGGTGGTGTTGAGAGGGTCGAGGTAGAGGGTGTATAGCTAGACGAGGTTTGTTGTTAGCTGCGTTGGCTGGGTGGTTGGTTTACAAGAGAGAAGAGGGGGGGATGAGTTTGACATACCCATGCGGGACGAAGACTCTGTGATAGGAGTGCTTCGTAGGCTTCGATGCGAGAAGTGGAGGGGTCGGAGGGTATTTCGTGGGAGGAGTGGTCTTTGGCGTAGCGCTCGATCTTGCTGCCCGTGAGAGGTATTGTTGGTTTTAGATTGCTGTTGAGAGGTGCTGGAGCAGGTTGCGACTCCGTCGTTGACAATGTTGATGATGGTGATGGTGGTGTTGTTGGGGGGAGGAGGAAAGGCAATGCGCCGGAGGGGGAGGCATGGTTGTTGGATGGGATGATGTCGACTTCAACGCCGGCTATGCGAAGGAAGGTCTGCGAGACGTCAAGTTAGCGAAGGGTAAAACATAATGGTGCAATGTATCTTAGAATTCAATATGCCATTGCCTTGTTCCCGTTTTATAATGGCAATGGATTACATCAAACTCTTTAAATCAGATGGACCTTACCTGCCACTTCAAGCACTGAGGATTGAAGCTCGGCCGTCCGCCTCGAGCTTCCTCCTCGCTCCTTGCAAAGACATACAGACGAGGCCGCGGCCGCGCTCTTTCGGGGGCTCGTTCGGGCAGAGGATCGGCGGGGAGGGTCGTCAAGGGAAACAGCTTGAACAGCTCGCGGACGGGGGCCGGCACGGCGAACCAGCCGGGGCGAGAATTGGGGCCGGCGACGGCGGCCATGTGGCGGAGGGGGAAGAGAGGGCGATATGAACTTGGGGGTTTGGGAGGAGGATTGAGCAGGGGGGGTTGCGTTTGGTTGTTCGGCCCTTTTGCTTTTTTTGCTGCGATTTCGCACCAGTTCTATTCGAAGTTTGGTTCTGATACGTTCTGTGAAACCGAGTATCTGGAAGGGGGTGTGTGGAACGGAAAGAAACTAGAGTGGCCTTCTGGAAGCCATTGGCGTAATTCGGGAGAAATCTCGGAAGAAAAGAAAAAAGAAACTTTGAATGTACGTAGTGACGTTCTGGTTTGAAGAACAGAACGTGGGGCAGAAAGAAAAGAAAAGCGGGGCCGCAGGAAAAGACGGGGCTCAGGGTCCTGCAGTGCTCTTTTGGGAAACACCGGGATTCTTTATTTGGCAATCTGGTGGCTGATGGCGAGCAGCACAGAACGGCAACGCGTCGTTCCTCTTGCATAGGTACATACAAGGCTTAATCCTTTTGGTGTCTGCGTATGTGCCTTTACATGGCATCTCTGCTGCGGTGCTGGCTTCAATCAATCAGCACCGGATGCGTCCAACGCGGCAGCAGAATCAGGTGGTGTAGCCTAGCGCAAAACCCACTGCTAAACTTGCAGCAGCCCGTAATATCATGCAACGATGCAAGAGGGGAGAGAGCGAAAACGCACGAGTCGTAACGCATGTGTCGGGTGTTTTTTTTTTTTTTTTTTTTTTTTTTCCTTGGCTAATTTCCCACCCATCTTTGCGCTCTCGCAATTCGCAATCGGCCCTAGATAAAGAAGAGAGCCCATCTTTAGACTAATGGTGTTCCCCCTCCACTCTCGCATCGGAAAGTGGTCAAAAGTGATATCGTCTTCACCGCTCCTTGGTTGCCCGTAGAAGAAGAAAAGAGTCTGGTTGCTTGGAAATGTGACGAGCGTCCCTTTCTGGTGCTCGTCTGCTTCCAAACGGCATGGGTGATGCAGATTCCAATACGTGTATGGCATTGATACCTGTAGCTCAAGGCATGTATATGTACCTTTATGCCGCACTTGGCGCCAAAGAGTACAATGCACGTGCATGGCTCGACAGACAGCGCAGCAAACTGCCCAGCGCAGAACATGGAGCATACTGCAGCATGGAGCCCACCTACTACCTAGTACATGCTAATGCAATAAAACCTGCCAGACCAGGGCCAAGGAAGGACCCTGGAATCAGTCCGAGACAGGTGCAGATCTGGGCCGCCAAATGCATTTTCGCGTTTTAGCCGATCCGACCTACGGAACAAACCACGACTAGGCAAGTGCTAAAGCTGAAGGCAGAGTGGGAAATGCTTCTGCCTAGTCCTTGGCTTTTTTTATCCTTTTTGGCTGTTGGCTGTGCAGCTCCGCGCCTCGGATCGGTAAATCCGATCTCCTTCTGCTTGTCTCTCTCCTGGGTGTGTAGCATTGCCGTTTCTGGTGCAGCAGCAGCGGCATCACCCATGCAGGAAGCAGCACAATGTGGCCGCCTCTCATTCGATCTTGTGAGCTCTTTTGACGTGCAACGTCTGATGTTTTTATATTGAGGGTAGCAGCAGCCGCAGCAACCAAGAAGAAGTAACCATCAGATTCTTCTAACTGTACATCCCGCCGTACTGTACACGCTACACAATGGGAGATACAAAAATACATACAGATGCTGATGCGCCACGGCGTCGAACCACTTTCCCCCACTGCGGCGGGGGCTGTCTCTGGAGGCTTTAAGAGGTACTTGTTCGTCGCCGAGACTCTCGCGTTTGAGGATGTAGATTGATGTGCTGGATCGCCCGAGACGTGGGGTTTGGCCAGTTTCGCCTTGTCTCTCTGGTACTTGGACCCGGGCTTCTTGGCATGTTAGTAGATGCCTTCTGTCGACAAAGTACATGGAACAAGAATGCAGCGGGTGAGCAGTCACGACGTCGCAATACACCACCATCACCACCATCACAACTACCGGAAGGACAGTCAATTTAAAATGCAAGTAAAAATAAAAATAAAAATCCCGAGCTCGTTCTGCACGAATCGTCGCATCACGCGGCGGTACATGCCGAGGCAATCCCGGGCCAAATCGATTGCTTCCCTCCCCCAAAAGTCCCTTTTTCCCGAGTCCTCCCATAAAAAAAAAGGTACTTGTCCCTTCCCCCAGCGATCCCCCATAAAGACGTACTCCGGCCTAGTGGCTTCGCTGTCGTCATATGTAAGAGAAGTTCCCCCCCACAACGAGGACCGGCAAATCTAGACTCTCTCCTCCAACAGCCCTTTCGTTTATTCCGCCGAATAGATAAAAAGGAGTGCTTATCCGCTTTCTCGTGCTCGGTCCTCTTTTCGTCTCTCTGGCTCGCTATCCCCTCGATATTCTTTTCCCATCTTTACTTTCTTCTTCCATCGCTCGGCCTTCTCTCCTTGCAACAAGTGCCGAAAAGGGCCATTCCAGATCTCGGTCCACACACTTTGCTTGCAGCAGCCCCACCATTAACCAACCTCACGCACACACACGCGCGACGGCTGAATTCATCAGAGACCGTCCTCTCCGGCATTTACAAACAACCGTCGCTTCTATCCGCCTTGGCCATCGATATCCGAAATCGTCAGCACCGTAATTTCCCCTTTTGTGGATTTTCACCCGCAGAAAGAAGAGCGCAGATCCCCCGGATTTCTCGCATCATCGTGTCGAGATACTCGCCATCATTTGCTCTACCATCGGCTGTCTGATACACCGCCAACCAGCATTCTCCTACAACTCCCGCGTCTCGCAACGACTCCTATAACATCATCTCCACCTCACTCCACAGCCATGGACCCTTCTTCTTCCACAAACGCCTCCTCATCGACCGCCTCATCAACAAGGCCGTCTCCCAACAGCTCAGCCGCCGCCATGGTCCCTGCCCCCATCCAGGTCAAGGCCCCTTCAACCGAGCCCTTCCTGAAGGACTTTACCCTCATCGCCGAGGCTGCCAAACGCGCGCAGGTCGCAGTCATGGTGCGCGACTTTGAGGATGTTGGCATCTGATGGAGAATGTACCATCGGGCGCGTTGAGATTGGCGACTAGCTTCGTGGCTATGAATGGATTCCTATCAACGGATTTTGAATAAGACTCGCAATCTGGGTTTGGTTTTCTTGGCCTCTCAGTCACGGCAATAATGCGATGCGATCTGCCAGACCGGCCATTTTCAAGCACAACCGGGAAATATGAATATGACCACCAATCTCAATGTCGTCTTATATCGCCTGCCCCCACCCCCTTTTTCTTTTCCTTTTTTCCTTTTCTTTTCCTTTTTTACTACATTTGCAACGGAGATCAGGCGTCAGATCTTTATACACGCTCAATCCTTGGGATGTCATTTATTTGGTTATTAAAGCTCTATCAGCTGGATGGGATGGTGTTGGTCTAATTTGGAAGAAGAAGCCTCGCGCACAGATATTCAAGTCTTGATTTTTCTCTTGGTTTTTTTTTCCTTTTGTTCCGGGCATATAAATATATACACTGAGCTAGAAATACCCGTATCTTGATAGTAATGAGACTAAACGAGGCAGTCATGTACGCCTCATAAATACCCTTTTTCTTGGTCCTTCTCCTTTCATCTACGTGACGAATATGTAGCGCCTGTAAAGCAAAACGCTTGGTGGTAGTAAGAGTAATAAAACAAATGTGAATGTGCTACACATCATATTTATAGCTTGGCCACATTAGATGCGCCTCCATCGATACGGATCAAAGCGCCATTGCAGAATGCACTATATGGACCATCGGGATTAGCCAACCGACATCAAACCCCAGTTCACAAGAGCGAAAAGCAAAAAGAAGCAGGAAACAAAAAGACTCACCCTGCTCGACTTGCCAGGAACAAACTGGCACCCGCCACATCCTCCGGCGTGCCAATCCTCCTCAACGGCAGCTCGCTTCGAATATACTCCCCCACAGAGTCCAGCGTCGCCCTCATCATCTTAGTCGCAAACGGTCCGCACGCCAGCACGTTGCTGGTGATGTAGCGCGGCCCCAGCTCCTTGGCCAGCACGCTCGACATGTGATGCAGGCCGGCCTTGCTCGCCGCGTAGGCAATGTTGGACACGGTCGGCACGCGGATGCCGTCGATGCTCCCGATGTGGATCACGCGGGCCGGGTCGTCCTGCGAGGCGACCTTTTCCAGCAGCGGCAGGCACAGCTGCGTCAGGGTGAAGACTCGGTGCAGGTTGAGCGTCAGGACCTTGTTCCACGCGTGGTCCGGGTACGAGTCGACGTCGGCGCCCCAGGCCGCGCCGGCGTTGTTGACCAGCACGTGCAGGCCGGCGGGCTCGAGGTCGGTGAGGCGCTTCACGAGGTCCTGCACCTGGGCGAGGTCCTGGAGGTCGCCGGGCAGGGCGTGCGCGGAGCCGCCGTTGCGCGCGAGCGAGGTCAGTTCGGCGGCGGCGGAGGTGCAGGCCGGGGCGTCGCGGCCGTTGAGGTAGACTTTGGCGCCGTTTTCGACGAAGCCTTGGGCGATCATGCGGCCGATGCCTTTGGCGCCTGGAGAGAGAGAGAGAGAGAGAGAGGAAGAGGTTAGTTTGATGGGGGCTGGTGGTTTGGAAAAGCATGGGGGAGGGGGAGGTGTTCAAAGGAGACTTGCCTCCGGTGACGAGGACGACTTTGCCCTGCGAATTAAGCTGGTAAGTCCATTTGTATGGAATAGACATTCGGTGATGGGGAGGGATGGATGGCAGACAGTACCTTGACGCTGAATAGATTGTTGACATCCATGATGACTGCCTTATCTGATATATGAGTGATACACGGATTGTTCTACTATTCGATTGAGTTGGTTAGACGTCAAACAAGTGATATCAGAGATGTAAATAGCAAAGAATATTAGAATACAGGTAAGCTGGTCATCAAGGTCTTGAGGATGTCATCCCACAGCATACCTCGGCTCGCGGGCCAGGCTTGTACCGAGTTATGCTCCGCGTCCGTACTAGGCCTATTTCGGTAGTAGATTACCAACTGTTTTTTTGGGCCGAGCTTAACGTTATCGATACGCGGACCGCAAATGATACCACTGTACTCCGTATTCCGCTCCGCTTCCCGAAAATACTACGTTTGTGTGTCAGGTACATGTGCCTTGGCTTCCAGCAATATCCGCAAGTTGAGTAAAAATCGAGGCTTTTTTTTTTAAAAAAAAAAAAAATAATAATAATAATTATACATGTATTATTGTATTATTGTATTATGTTATAGATACCTATATAGGTCCACGTCAATTGGTAGTTCTTACTTACAAGAACAAAAACCCCATGCGAAACCCCCCCCCCGTAGACTAATACAGGTGCCCATTTCCCCAGCTCCGAAGAATCCCATGCGCCGAGATCCCGCCCCACCTACGGCTTAAACTCAGCTGCCAGAAAGTATTGCGCAGTAATAAGACTTCTAACTAAGCTAAGCTTCGCTGCCACCAATAAAGGAGCCCCCATCGTCATGCTTCAACCTCGTAAAAAGACACCAACGCATTCGCTTCGCTCGCCTTCTCTCTCTTGTTTTTCCAGCTTAATGTAAGCAGGAACTAGAATTGGTGTCTTTCTTTTTGGATACCTATCTATCCTGTTTGTGTTTGAATCATCATCAGCCTCGTGGCTGTTAGACCCTTTCTTTGCCGTAAGTTCAAAAGCCTGCCCCTCTATGATGCGATGATACGATGCGACTACTCGTAGCCTCACTTCCTCCCCCCAAAGCCAAAGCCCAGCCTCAAAGCTACCTACATATACATACCCACTCTATACTTACCTACATATATATATATATATACATATATCTAACATATTTCCCATCCCAGACTGCTCCTCCATTCCCTTCATTCACAGCCCGCCGCACAGCAATGGCCACCTCTACTCCCACCAAGCTCCGCGACCACTTCGCCTCCAAACCAGTCTCCGCCCACAACGACGCCTGGGACGCCCTCTACGCAGAGTCCTTCACGCCCTGGGACCGCGCCGGCCCGTCCCTCGCCCTCGCCGACCTGCTCGCCCAACGCACCGACCTGATCCCGCCCTCCCTCGAGCGCGACCCGCGCGGCAACCCCCTCCGCGACACCACCGGCCACGTCGTCCGCCGTTCGGCGCTGATCCCGGGCTGCGGCCTCGGCCACGACGTGCTGCTGCTGAGCTCGCTGGGGTACGACGTCGTCGGCCTGGACTACAGCCATCGCGCGCTCGGTGCCGCCCGGGAGAACCAGAAGAAGGCGCTCGAGGATGGCAGATACAAGTCAGCCGAGGAGGGCATGGAGTGCGGTCGCGTGACATGGGTCTCGGGCGACTTCTTTGGCGACGAGTGGGAGGGCGGAGTGGGCAGCGAGGGCACGCAAAAGTTTGATCTGATATACGATTACACGGTGAGCAAAAAGAGTGGCCTTTTGATGTTGTTTTTTTTTTATTTCGCCTCTACAAGGCATGAGGAAGCTTTTGTCTCTTCCCCCCCTTTTTTTTGTGGCAGATTAGCTAACACCATATCCTCTCCTTCGCTCTCCGCCAGTTCCTCTGCGCCCTACAACCTTCCGAGCGCCCCAAGTGGGCAAAGCGCATGTCTCAACTGCTCGCCCCCAGCGGCCAACTCATCTGCCTCGAGTTCCCCTCCGGGAAGCCTCTCTCGCTGCAGGGTCCGCCCTGGGGCGTCTGGCCCGAAGTCTACGAGGCCCTCCTGGCTAATCCCGGCGAGCCCGTCGAATACACCGATGACGGCAACGTCAAGTCGAGCACCACTCCTAAACAGCCTCACCCAGATGCGCTGCATCGCGTGTGTCTTGTGAAGCCGCCGCGGACACATAAGGCGGGCTTGAATGAGGATGGGAGTGTCAGGGACTTTATCTCTGTGTGGTCCCGGTAGCGACGGTGCTGGTGGTGCTGAGGGTTCCGTATATAGTAGTAGTAGTAGTAGTAGTAGTATAAAAGTGGAAAAAAAAATGGCGGGAGTAAGGTCCAAAGGAAAAGGGGTCTGGCGCCTATAAACCCCCATCTTCCACAAAGTTGGTGGAACAAAGGGAAGTAACAAGTCCCGGCAGATCTGGGAAACAAACATCAAGTAAATGAAAGGCTCGGTGTACCATTATCAGTCTCGCCATCATCCTCAGTCCGCTGTGGTTCCCGCCGTCGTTGTTGTCGTCGCCCTTCTCAAGGAGTTGTAATGCTCTCCAAGCCCATATCCATGTCGATAGTACGCCAGCCACAAGGTCTTCGCCTCGTCTCCCTCTTCCTCTCCCTCTTTGCCGCTGATATTCTCTGTCCTCCCATCTTGGATCACCTTAATCTCAACGCCGTACCGCCTCGCCACAGCCATCAGCTCGAGCTGTCCGCCCCATTCCGCCGTGTCTCTCATCTTCTTCACGTAGCCCTCGAAATCCTCCTCCAAAAACGGTGCAAAGTCATCTGCGTGCTCCACCATGTATCCCGTCGCTGTTTTCCGTATCGTCTTATACGCAGGCTCTGCCTTGTCGCTATCACCGCCCAGAGGGATGCCGTTGTGAGAGAGCTGGTCCGCCAGCGCCGAGAACAAGCAGTGTCCGTCCGGCTGGATGTCCTTCTCGGTGAGTTTGTTCGCTGCAAATGTGTTCTTCATGTATGTACTTTCGCGCGCGCGGTGGTCTGTCATGGACGAGGCTTCCTGTTCGGCGCTCAGCATGGCGGCTTCTTGCTCGGCGGCACGGCGCGCGAGGCGCTCCTTTTGTCGATTTCGCTTCTTTCCAGGCTGTTGCTGCTGTTGAGCATCGCCGCTGTTCTCTTCAATATTGAGCTTCGCGGCCGCATTTTCCAGCACTTCTGTCCCGCTGGGCGTCTCGTCGTTCCGTTCCTGCTCCTCTTCCTCAAGATCTTCCTCGACTTCTCCGCTCAAGACTGCGACTTCGGAAGCTTGCTTCTCTCTTAGCTGACGTTCCATCTCGGCGCATTCGTCATTGACGCCTTTGCGCGTCTTCTTGGTAGCGTTCTTCTTCTTGCTTGTGATTCTTCCCTGGAGGTCCTTCAGCTCACGCCGGTGCCGCGCCTGCATTTGTTCCAACGTCTCGCCCTCCATATTCGTGTCTCTCCTCCTTTTATGTCTTTCTTTTCTAGTGCCTTTCAAATTCTTTACATTCGTGACAAATTACATAAACTCAGCAAATTTCATAAGAGACGCTTGAAAGCAAAACCTACTTGCGGCAAAAGTGTTGATGGCGGGGTCAAGTTCCAAAGTTCAATATCCAACCCAACTATTTTTTTTCAGTTCCTTTGGCGGGGTTACCATCATTCCCGGCATGTGGAGATCTAAGCAAACCTCGAGGTAGATGCTACAAGTTAGCAGCAAATCAACTATGCCAATATCACTTTCGATATACAGATCAATGAATTTCTTTCTTTCTTTTTTTTTTTACTTCTTCTTCTGATATAATGAGCATATTATACTCAATTTGGACCATCTTCTAACGCTATTTCTCGGTTTTCTGTGTTCCCAGAGAGTAGCTGCCCAATCGACCCATCGACAAGGCATCCTGTCTAGCCATACAGCTAATCTTCAAATCTCTATTACCATGTCCAGACCAAACATGCCTCTAGCAGCATAAGATCATGGTGGAAATTGCTCTGTTTGTTTTGTGTATACCCGTTTTGTATATATTGCGGACTCTTCTCGTCCTCCTCATCATCCATCCACCGACAAAGAAAAAAAAAATACATATATATTCGAGAAAAGAAAAGCCAGCGCCGCGCACCGTATATGAGAAGAATGATATAAACAGCAAGGGAAAATCGAATATGTGAATTAGAGCGGCAATGACGGTAATTCATATCAATACAAGGCTTGAAGCAAAATTAGTGTGTATGCTACAAAAAAAAAAAAAAAAAAAAAAAAAAAAAAGTTCNTTCCGCTACGAAGGATGCAGTATGCAGTACCGTGTATGCTACAAAAAAAAAAAAAAAAAAAAAAACAGGGTATCCCGTCGTGGTGTTGCTTGATCCGTTATAGCGAATCGGTGATATATAAAATCGGTTGAAGGAGTGTGATTAGTGATCGTTTTCATGTTTTACTAGTTTGATTTTGTTCTCTTTCTTCAAGTAGTTTAAAACCCGCTGAAAGGATCGTCTTGGAAAAAGTCTTCCTCTCCCGCGGTCTTGCTTCCACTGAAGAACTCATCAGATCCTCGCGCGCTCCTGGACATTTGGGCTCGGCGCCGATGCCGGCTGGTACGTCGGCGGAATTCTTTGCTCTTCTTCCGTGCAAGAGATCTATAGTCATCGTCTTGGTACCCCTCGTATTGTTGGTGAGCATGAGGGCTAATGAATGCTTCCATTCGCACAGTACCGATTGCATCAAAGAAATTGCCTTGCGACGATACTGCTGACATGGAAGTTTGAGCAATACCCCAGCTTCCGATGGTAGATGCCTGAGAGGGGTAGATATCAGAAGAACCAGCGGTATCAATGCTAGCGCCAGCTGTGCTGTTCGCAGAATGGTGGCTGCTCTCACCCAGAGCTGGCGAGAAGCCTCGGAAGGATAGCGGCGGGTGAACGTTGCCTCCTGTATTGCTTCGCTTGCGTCCGTGATGCGTCTGGTTATGGCCTGTACGCTCATTATTGAAGCGACGTATCATAGGTGGCTCGGCAGCGTCCACCGAGATTTCCCTAGCGTGTCCGGGCCCTGATACGGATTCTGCCACTCGAAAGCTAGCTACATCGCCCATCCTCAGTGTCGGGACATCAGGAATGCTGGGCATGCTCGTCAGCTCAGTCTTTGGCGCAACGGCCCGGCCTTTGGCTAGCCGAATAGAATCTCGGATCCCCCCTCTTGTCAGCTTGGTAGGACGCGGTGGTTCAAAATTGGGAAGTGGCCGCTGTTTAACTGAAAGGTGTTGCTGGGGTTGGGGAGATATAACGTCAGGGACTGCCTGGTAAGAATGGGCCAGGAATGATAAAGCCGTCAGCCAGAGGTAATGTCTCTCTGCTGTGGAAGCTGTGAACTTGAGGGCTCTCTGCGGTGTGAGAATCAAGATTGATCTGTTAAAGATAGGTGTAGTAATGCCCCTAGGCGAGGGATTGTCATCCTTGACGTCCAGTACCGACTGGATCGCCAGTTTGCGCCCCGTCTTCCCTAACAGAGCACTACCAGAAGACGGTTGTTTGCTGCTCCATAGAATCGCTCTCTCATACGGTGCTATCCAAACCCATCGCTTGTGTCTATCGTTGCTAGTCTCGTCTTTATGCGCACTATCCCCAACACCAAACGATTTCCTCCTGCGGACATATTTGAACATCCATTCTCCAACCATAGTCTGGGCAATCGCATCCACCACTCCCGGGGATTGTGAGCTTGTCTGGGACGCGGCTTCTGTGTTGGCAGTCACAACGGTAGTGTTGGATGGTTGATGTCGATGTCTTCTATAACTGCTGTCTTCGCGGTTACGCGGCGTAGTGATGTCATTTCGAGGCAAGGGGGGGAGACCAGGGCTATCAGGAGCTTCAGTTGATGGTGACAACGGTGGTGTTCGGCTGCCTGTCCTATGATGGCGTTCATGCCGTGGCAGATTATTTGCAGAACGGACACGGCGAACGTTATTGACCTGATAAGTGCGACTACCGCTTCGACGATGCCAACTAGTATTTGATGGGGTACTGCGTCCATCACTTGGAATGCTAGTACTGATAGATGGCTGCCGTGAGGGCTTCCGTGAACTCGCTCGGGCTGGGATAGGAAACGGCGGTGGGTTCTTAGGCTCAACAATGGTAGGGTAGTTCACCATACCAGTCTGAGCCATGGCGGCATTGCGCATAGCGTTGTTGCGGCTCGATGCACTTGCAGCAGGGACCGGCGACTTCTCCGTGGCCCTGCTCGACCTGCCGGATCTAGCATCACCTTCTTCAACACTATACAAGTCACTCCTTACCGATCTTGCAGACGTCCTGCCAGAACGTTTGGAATGCTGATCCGGTGAGGTCGCTACTGTGCCCACAGAACTTCGCTTTCCGGTCCGGCTCAAGTTAGATGGAGGTCTAGGAGCCGTCAAAGCTGTTCGGTACTCAGAATCACTAAAGTCTAGCTCTCCAAATTCGTCAATCTCGTCTGAATCAGTGTAAAAGCCAGAGAAGAGGCTGCTGAATCGACGAGGTGGTATTATCGGAGCGTGTGGGTTGGACAGGAGAAGATCATCATTGAACTCGTGCAGATCTGGGCCATCCATCGAGATGCTGATAGGGGAAGATGGAAGTTCGGTACTGTACCGGCTGCTTTCCAATCGTCGAGGATTTCGAGGAGGTACAGTGCCAAGAAGAGGACTCTTGTCGAGAATAGCAACACCTGACGGATGAGGGGAGGTGGGCCGAGAGGTGATAGAAGAGGGCTGAAGATGTGCTGGTAAATTAGCCAGCCGCCTCTTGTCGATCTGGATTGCCTCCGTCTGGGAGCAAGAATCAACTGTGTCCACTTTAATAGGGATATTAACTTGGCAGCCGATGTCTTTGAAATATTGAGGTAACTTGGGTGAATGCGGCGACGCAGGTCGACTGGTTGGTGGTTGGATACTGATACTCGGAATGCGTGTCTCTAATGGGGGTAGCGGCATAGGCGGTACTGCAGGAGCAGGAGCCTCAGTTTGTGTAGACGAAGTTACCATCTTTGGCCCAGCCTTTGGCATTTTGACTTCAGTAGGTGAAGGCTCGGGAACGGCGTGCTGCGAATTTGGCGTCTTTGGAGGTGTTAGGGGAACCTCAACTGTTTGGGAAGCAGATGATACCATGCGCTGGAGCAAAGCGGGTGGTTCGATACTAAGAGGTAGGCTAACACGCTTCTTTCGTTGATTTGCTTCGACTTCGGATGAACGCGGAGGAGTCTTTGGCTCCGGTTTCTTATCAACTGCTTCCAAGATAACAGGCTCCGGCTCAATAGGTTCTACAACCTCCAACATAGGGGAGGGTGGTGCAGAATATTGAGCTCCCGCATCGGTGCATGAGTATTCAGAAATAGGAGAATATTGAATTCCTGTGTCGGTATATGAGTTTTCAGAAGCAGGAGAGGATTGAATCCCCGCATCGCTATATGAAGGCTCGGAAACAGGTGAGTATTGAATTCCTGTGTCAATACGTAAAGGCTTAGGAGCCGGAGTAGGAGCCGGAGCAGGACAGCATTGAACGCTTGCATCGCTGTACTTGTGCTCGGAAACAGGAGAGCACTGGACTCCAGCGTTATTGTATAAGTACTCGGAGGCAGGCGTGGATTGAACTCCAGCGTCAGCGTATGATGGCTTTATAACGGGGGCGGCAGCAAGGGCGGGACGAGAATCTTCTCCTTCTGTTTCTTCATCCTCGCCCTCGAGCGCCTCTAGAACTGACTGATTCATAAAAATCCTACCACGTGCGACGCTACCAGCACGCTTCACGCTGTCGATGCTCTTATTCTTCCGATGGAGCTTGCTAATGACGCTCTCACGACTAAATGTTCGGCGGTGTTGTCGTGGGCTCGCGACTCGTGGGCTCGAGAAGACGCTCTCGCGTCCGTCAATATCGGTCTGTTCATCAGTATCATCGAACTTGAGCTCATCTGCCAGGGAAAACCCATTGAGAGAGAAGCCAGGTCCGTTAGCCAGAGAGTACCGAATGCTACTCGTGAGGCTCATTGTTCTGACACTAGCTGCATCATTTTCTCTGCCACTGTCTTCACCTTCACTCTCGTGCCCATTGCCATGTTGAGAGGCTCCCTGTACGTGATTAGCCTGGTAGGCCTCTACTTCATCAAGCACTATTTTGAGGCGGCTTTCCGCCACATGAATTCGCCGCTCATATTTGCGTTTTTCATCTTCCCAGTTCTCCTTTTCTTCAGCCCATTGATCATGAACTCGTTGGGAGTCTTCCTCTTGGTTACGAATTTTCTTCTGAGCAGCTTCTAAGCGCTTTTTAATATCGGCTGCAGAATCGACAGCTTCATCCCTTTCTCGTGAAAGGTCGCCCAATGCCGAGGAAGTTCCACCCTCTAGTAAAGATAACTGTCGCTGTAGCGAACGCGTCTCTTTGGTCGATGCGTTGATACTGTTCTGTAGCGCCTCTTGTTCTTCTCTGCTTGTCTGGAGCGTACTTTCGAGGCTCTCAATTACTCTGGTTTTCTCTTCCTGGTCTCTTCGTAGTGACAAAATTTCAGACACCAAGTTGGCGTGTAGAGTAGGAGTGAAGCGCCGCGGATCGAGAATACTAATTTGTTCATCGGTTGTGATATCTCTTGACGAACGTTTGGAAGCGTTCCCATTTCTAGACGGCGATATCTTCTTCTTTGCTGGTGGGGTGATTGAGCGTGCCGAACGTCGCGACTTTCTTGATCGAGTCGAGGGCGTTCTATAAGGAACGTACTCTCGTGGAGGCAGTGAGACTGCGCCCTGCGCATTCATATACTCATCGTCTGTCTGCCAGGCCGTCATTTTGACTAAGTCGAGCCAAGTCAAAAGGCGATTTCTCAATGACTCATACAGTTCTTAATACCAAGCGGCTAGAACAGACGCTCCAAGACTATAATAAGCCTGTATGATGAGTAGCAACCCCGTGTAATAGCAGCCCTTTTCATGGATGAAAAGGCACTTCCTGCAGCCAAGAACTGTCTTCAGGGGCCAGTTATCTCGTCCAGCCTCAGCTTAACCAGAGACAAGCGTCCTTAAATAAAGATGTCAGCGTGTGTGGATATAAACGACAGCCGCTTTTTGTCTGTCCTGAGACATATCGGCATAGGGCGGCTCGGGTACAACTAAAACAGGGGGTTTGACTTACACGACGAAATAACTCAGCACCAGACTTCTTTTTCTCCTCTCTTGCTGTTATTTTACGGCGCGCCAGGCCCCGCGGAGATATATTCAATGGGTAATTGCTCTAGCCACACTGGTGGCAACGTTGTCTAATACAATTGCGCCTAAACTTCCTCGCTGTAAGAAACCGTCGATGATGCTGGGTTTGCGCTGATTTAGATATAAGATATGCAATCCGTAAGGTAAGAGAAAATTCGTGGAATAGTTGTTAGAAAATCCGATTCAAAGCTGAAGAATTGAATGTTTGTCGTAAGTTAGAATAAGTGATGGCTTCTTGGAAGAGGGTCCGGCCAACTGATCAAGGCGAAAGCGAAAGCGACTTCGAATGAAACACAAAGGAGGCGGCGAGTGTCAAGGAAGAGTTTCGACAGCGATGACGCGGAAATGCGGTGATCTAAATCAAAATGAAGAGAACAGAGCTGAAAATATCAGCTTTGTATTTCCACAGGTACCTCGGTAGGGAGTTTGTAAGGCAGGCGGGTTGGCTGCACAAGGGCACTGCTCGTTCCTGCCACTTGAACTCACCTAAAGACACAAAGACGCAAGGGAAGGAAAAAGGAAGGAAAGAAGCAGAGTTGCCTAGAGAGGCTTGGCGGACAAGTTGTCGGGTGCAATTAATCCATTGAGGCCGAAAAAAAAAAAGAAAAGCAGAGACAAAACAGCTTCTGACCCAGACAATCTCCCTCAGAGCTGTGTGATTGTTGAGGCTGAAGATTATCGCTCGGGGCCAACAAGCACGACACGACCGACGACGATAACGACGACGGACACAGAACAGGAGACGGCGAGACGAAAAGATAATGACGAGGTATCCGGCCGGGGTGCCGAAAGAGTAGGAGGCAGGGAGTATAAATTGTCCACATCCACTTTGCCTCGTTGGTTGACGCGCGATCGGGGTCGTCTCTGGCCATGTGGGCCGGTGATTGAGGCGATCCCAGGACGCTGGAAGCTTGGTTGCATGGGGGCCGGGCAGTGGGAAGTCTACGAGCACTACGCCGCATACGGGGACTAATATTCTCTATGGACATGCTAGCAGTCGAGGTAATTTGATCAACTGGCGTCTGGACAAGCTCCCAAGCTGACGGCTCTTGGCTGAAACCTGCAGATGGGGGGCTTTCTATGCAGCTTCGACGAAGCTTGTGCACCCCGACTCTATCATAACCAGAATCTAGAATTCCGCAGGGGAGCATACAGAACCCAGAGCTTTCTCTTTTTTCGAGAATTCGTCGCGCGCCGTTGTGTGTGGTGGCAGATGCACACCACCATAAGCTGTTGACGTCTAAACGTCCGATATGCACCGCCAAGAGCCACCCCCAAATCTGCCGCAGCGGCCATGTTCGTCCCTCCTAGGAACCTCAATTAGGGAGGACTTTCTTCTTTGTGCTCTTCACGCTGCCCCTGCAACCCTGCAACCCTGCGTCCTCTACCTGCACACTCTGCCAGGGGCTGTCTCTGTCGGTTCTCTCATCCGCGATGGCCTAAGCTCCTACTCCCGGCCCTGATTAGCGGTCGTCAGTCACCACCAAAAACGCCCACTAGACATGCTCCATACGAGTGGCTAATACAAATTCTAATAGTAGCTCGCTGTCCTGTCAGGTTTCCTCTTCAGCTAAATGCACCATTTTTGCTGCTACTAGTGCTGGCAGGTGGCGCGGTGGCGTTTTCTTCCCGGCCGCAAAGCGTAGGATCGGGCTAATAGCTTGTGGCTTTTGCTCGTTTCACCATTGTCCAGCGCAAGACTGAATAATATGATACAGCAGCTTTCGAATGGCGCGCTGCTGAAGGGCAAGTGACTCTCACCAGCACCCGGGGGGTACCTTTACCTTGTGCGGGATATTACACAGCGTTCATTTGTGTAAAGAGCCAACAGTCTTCAGATAACATAGCACAATACTCGTAACAGGAAAAGTCGCGAACGCTACCCACCCCCGCGCCGAATAACACAACAAAGCATACGAAAAGAGCCCTTGGAAAAGTGGATGGCAACATCATAGACTGGATCTTACCAGTGTTGAAGTACGGAGTACATAAGCTAGCACGTTTGTGTGTGGATGCACGGCAATATCACATATGCAAGGCTACCGGTAGTATCACCTGGTGGGATCCCTGTCAGGGCCACCTTCAGGACATTATCCGAAGTTGTGTGCGTAGCTAGGAAGAGTATCCTGGCTAGAGCGAATATTCGGCACTCGTACAGCGAAGGAGAGCCCAAGGATGATGCCACAGACGGAGTACTGCTTGGCGCGATGGACGGCGGACAATCGCTACTCATATTTCTTTTCTAGGAAATGATGGGAGAATTCGCAGCTGTTGGTCCAAAGTCCCAAAGTTAGTCTCGCTATTCAGTCGCCATCGGGGCCCGAGAGCCACCATCATCGTCATCATAATCAGTACCCCCATAAAGCAGAGTATGGCTGCCTTATTCTTTCCCCCCTATTCGGGGTACGCTTCGCCTGGGTCGCCCACACTACTGATGAGACTCTGCCTGCCAACGTGCCAATAAGCGAACCATAGCAGTACAGTCGCAATAGAGTACGAGTACTTATGCCGGGGCTAATTACCGTGCCTCCCACCATGCTGGTGCTCGGCTATGTTCGTTCGACATCTGCACGCGTACCTTGCATCGTCCTGCAGGCTCAGCTTCCAGTGTTCCGCGCAGGCATTAAGGCACTACACGTTATGGGGAATGCTGTCTATGGGAATGCTGCTGCACTACTGGCAGATCCTGCAAGTACACGTGCCTACACAACACCCTAGTATGGGGTACGGAGTTATCCAGGTTGGCTCATTTGCTTTAGCTGGCCTCCCTTGGCTGCTCTGGAAATTAATCGGGACCAGGGCCGTCGTCGTCGATTCTGCTCTGCCATCCACCAGTCCCCGACGCTATGCTGGCCTAGGAAGCGGGCCGAGCTTGGCAGAGCCAGCACGGTCCTCGCGCTCTTTCAGGGGAGCCAACCTTACTCCGTATCGCTCAATTAATTAGAGAAGACAAGGGGCGATTATTGGAGATTTTCTTTTTGTCGCCCGCCTGTTCATCGGGGTCGGCATGACCGACACAATCAAGCCTATGGCAAGACAGATACGAGTGCAGATGCTTCTTTGATTGTCTGACAGCTAGGTTACCCATGAAGAGGGTTGGTTTCCGTGGCCATGAGAATGTTGGGAGAAGGATATGAGCACTGCTCCGTGCATAATATTGGGATATTTCCAATGCAACTGCCGCGATCTCTATTACTTACTCAAAGCAGCTCGATAGCATTTTAAATCATCTCACTTTGCTATGCAATCACGGAAAAGGAGACGATAAGCAATATCGGAAATTGAAAGTTGCTATTTCACTTACTGCGTCGCAAGGGCTGTGAAATCTAGACCAAGCCATTGTCGAAAACTGGTGAGCAGCTGGGCACTCTCCACAGCGGGCGACGATCATCGCCCTCTTGAGCCGTTTTACTTTATTTAGCATTTGCTGTTGGCTATAGCTGGATTTAGACCTCATGTTATCAGCTAAAAGCCTCTCTGACCACTAATTGATTGGCTCAACAGACCATCCGACTACAGCTGAAAATCTACTCGTACGAGCAATTATCCTTGAGAAGTTCTCATTAGAAAACATGTCCCGATTTGACTACGGCCACTCCACTTTGCCTACGAGTAATATGCCGGCACCACCCCATCAGCTCTCTTCGTGCTAGTCCAACTCGCTCCCTCAGGTTAGCCTGAGATGTGATGGGTGATAGGGCGATTGCCATGCTCCTGCAATTTCTCCGCTTAATACTCCACTCCGATTCTGGGCGGCCTAGCACTGTTAGATACGTCAGTACTAATTGCAGCTGAAAAGAATTGGCAAGCACAAGAAGCTTGTGAGCGGCTGAATCTCACGCGGCTCCCTAGCCAAGTGTGATAAGTCTCTAGCGAGTCGGCAGGGCTATTGATATTGACAGAGCAGCAAGGTCAAAGTCAAGTCTTCGGGGAGACGTACATAGTAAGAATCTGCAAAATGCTCCGCCGCCAAGTCGATGAACTATTGATTTCTTAAACGCCCCAGGGATATCCAGATCATAGCAGGCAGCAAGATCAGCATTAGCTGAAGGCCGTATACCTGTGATCCCCACGCAAAGCTAAATCTAACAAGCTCATTGAAGTAGTACAACAGAGCACAGCTTACATCACTCCCCAGTTTCACAGTTCTTGGACAGTACACTTGTGAACTACTAAGGCAGTGCTATCTCTTCGCGCCAATGATACGGAGCAGATTCAAACTATCACCAAGCGCTTGGCGTGGCATCTTGGAGTAGCATGCGGAAAAGTAAACTGCATGTGCGCAACGGTAGTTGACCAGAGGAGCATTATCAAATGCTATAATTTTATCCAGCCGATGCATCCTGTTGTCTCAATTGATGTTTTATTGCAAGACCATTGGATCGACAGGGATTCAGCCACACATTACGAAGTCGCTACCATCGTTCCGGGCCGTCCATCCGTGTCTCCTAAAGGGGGGTCTTCTTGGATGTATTTTTATCTTACTGCATACAGCAGTTATGATGCCAGCTGGAAGACGGCTAGAGTATTTCCGGGGATACAGCTACTCCCTAGAATACCCATAACTCCAAACAACACGGATCTCTTCAAAGCTTTGTTCGGCTACCTAAGTCAATTACCAAGATAATCGTCGACTCCTCCGCATAATCTCTTTTTTTTTTTTTGGCTTAGTACAGGTAGCAGGTACTCTATGATAACGCTTTTCGTCATTGTCCTAGATAACAAGCCCACCGGTGGTTATACTGTATTCTCTCATTCTCCGTTATTCCATCGTTGCTGCACGTGCTTTGGGACACACCAAGGATTCGATACCTGGCCATCACTATCACAGTCACACAACATGTGTAACGGCACTGAGGAGAATCTTCTATTTAAGGAAGCAAAAAGGGCCGCGAATATGTCGTGCCTCGGCCTTTAGAATAGCAGGGATTGTATGTATCTCAGCTCCCTCAGTAACGTGTTGGCCTCACACGTGAAGCCCGCTTCGCAATTTTTCGCGAGTTTGAAGTATCACAAGCTAGCAACCAACACCATAAGGTTCTTTCTCCATGACGTTCACTACCAAAGAGAGGACGCTTGGTGGCAAATTTAGAACAGGGGTTACCAGTGACAGGTCTTCGTGACATGTACGCCGTCAATCATTTGATGACAAGCTCCCACTAGTCAGAACCACTAGTACTATCAAGCTACTTGAATAGCTTAATTAAAGTCAATGTAGCTTTGACATTCCTGAGTCTAACGGTGTTACGATGGCGAACGTTTCGAGTATATGAAGTGCTGGTCCTTGCGCAGGCGATTCTATTTACACTAGTAAGGAGTCTGTGCTCGCGGATCAGTCTCCCGAGCAGATCAGCATGCACGGAGTAAGACTGCCCACTAATGGTAATCAAATTGTTATTTCGTACCTCGTATTATCTCGACCGGAATGCTACCCTGCTAATAATCTGTTCATATAATGGCAACTTATTAGTATTTGACAGAAATATAAGATACATACACAGGGGAGGCATTTTATAGTAGTAGTAGCTTATTCAAAGTAAGCGCTTAGTACTTTGTTGATTGACCATGTGATGGATATGTCTGCCAACGAGATTTTATACGCATGTGAAATTATGAGCCAAATACAGTTGCGTAGTTCATGGTATGAATTGTGGTGCACTGCTATGTGGTGCCATACGGCTGTGACAATCACTGGCGTAATATTTGTCTGCTTCTCCAAATGGAGGAATCCAAAGCATAAATTATACCAATTATATACCATAACATTACCATGCTATTGTATAAATTGACAACTAGTGTTCTACTGAAAGATGGAGTAATCATACACTGTATGCAGTAAGTTGTATCTCACTCATACACCGCGATGCAAACTCCTGCTCTGAAAAACTCATACAGTCTCAATCTCTCAGCACTATTGCAGCACGCCTAGCTTGAAAATATTCTTACGGAAACTCTCCATAGGCTGATTAGTGTACATTCTAGCATATATCTATATTCATAAAATAATGGCGCCCAGATGCCGAATCGCCATCTTCCGTCTCATTGTGTACTACCCTACAGCTCAATTCAAAAGATTATCCGACATTCACTACGCTGACTTTCACATGCCTGCATCCTCCGTATAATAACATATAAAATCATCTATTTAATCTTTATGACTCATCCACTGGCTTTGTGATGAAGCTTTCCATTTCACCGAATGGCGACATCTAATCATGTGATCTTGTAGATCTAAGCCTTAACCTCGGCGATGGTTCTCAGTTGAGTCACTGAGAACTTGCAATGTATTGAGCAAAAAAACATTCAGCATTTCCTTTAAATATACCACAATTACAGTAAGTCTAATATTAAAGATTCACACATACAAATATACAGCTAACACATCGGCTCTAGACACGCCAATCAAGAAAAAAGAAACCATGCCATCGGTAGTCTCCCCCCTCACCAACGTCAAAGCTCTCCTCTTTGACATCTTCGGCACTACCGTTGATTGGCGCTCCTCCATCACCGATGAAATCTCCCTTCGAGTATTCCGCAAACTCTCATCCGAGAATGTCCTACCAGCTGCCCTGAAAACCCGCCTCGATGGTCTCACCCAGCCAGACTGGGACAGGTTTGTACAAGAGTGGCATAACGCATATAGCGCATTTACGAGATCTTTTAACCCAGAAACGGACCCCTGGAAGAGCATTGATCAACACCAATACGATAGTCTTGTCGAGCTTCTCAAGAAATGGGACCTCGATGGATTATTCACGGAGACGGAGCTTGAATCCCTGAGCTTGGTCTGGCATAGACTCACCCCATGGCCTGATTCTCCCGATGGTCTCGCGGAGCTGAGCCGCAAATACACCCTTGGAACTCTGTCAAACGGAAACACCAGCCTGCTGCGTGATCTGAACGACTTTGGCGGGCTTACTTTCCACAACATCTTCTGTGCCGAGACGTTCAAGGCGTACAAGCCCAACCCGGCAACGTATCTTGGCGCCGTGCAGGCACTCGGATTGCAGCCGGAGGAGGTTGCCCTGGTGGCGGCGCACTTGGGAGATCTTCAGGCCGCGAGAGGTTGTGGCCTGAGGACGATTTACGTTGAGAGGAAACAGGAGGAGGCTTGGGGGCCGGAGGAGGAGAGGTATAAGGAGGCGAAGGGGTGGACGGATATGTGGGTCACGGAAGAGGAGAATGGGTTCTTGACTGTGGCGACGAAGCTGGGTGAATTGGAGTAGTAGTGATGGCACTTATGATGGAAAGTAAGAAAGGTGAATTGGAAAGGAGACAATGGGCTGTATATACTTGGCCTGGAACTGTTTCTGATTGACTCGGATATCGACTGTAGATGAGTCACGAGGTTGAAGAGCAGAGTTTGTGATATTTACTTAAACACTCTTATGTCGTATAACAGCAATGAGAAGAGTGGATAAACTGAGTGGTCTAGATATTGGCACAGAGATGTATGTTTTGCTTGAGACAACTACTTTCAATGATATGTCGTCACTGAAGTTGGGGCTGAGTACGGCTCTTTCTTGCACTAGCCCTTTGCGGCTTATATTGAACTTATAGTGACTGTATTCATAAATAAAACCTCTACAATTACCTACTTTGATAACAGTCAAAGACACCGCCAAATACTGCTGCCGAGACTGTATTGATTTCTCTATAGCGCCAAGGCAAAATGTGAAACAATAGAATAGATGATGTGATTGTAAGTATCACGCAATATTGCAATCAAAGTCACCTCAACCACCAATTACTCAGCTAAGAGACAACTCAAAGCAGCATATCTCATGAGACCCAAGCTTTAGGAAACATGTCCAGTGTGAAGTGAGTTCACAGCCATCCATAGACCCGTAGTGCTTCATGCTACATACGCGGATACATCTCTACGTCATGGGCTTAAAGAAAGTCGTTACAACCAACTACAGCAATGATGGGGGAGTACTACTACTAGATGCAACTTTACAAGAAAATCTGAGAGGCCACACTCCTTCAGCTTTAATTGACGCTTCGGGCTAAACTCACTACTCACGTTGAGCTGATGCTTCATCTCATGAGCGTGTGTCCAAGTCGTGCGTAGCCATAAGTTGTGCGAGCTGAGATAAACACAGCGCCAGCTGAGCCACTTCATCTCATACTGTGTGCTGATAATCCTCAATTCGGGAGTACCCGAGGCTACAGGATACAATCTTGATTCGTGGGGCTGAAAGAAAGCAGAAACGGCAGGGTTCGTTCGGATGCTATGGCCGATGCAGCTGAGCCAAACGTGACGCCAAGACAGCAGACACGAGTCAATTGCAAGTGCCCCCGGAAAGTTCCCTGGTGGATCAATCTCTCATGCAGCTTCTTTTTGTCTCTCGCATCTCGCGGTTACTTCGCGGTGATACAAGGATTTAAGAGTCGTATTGTGCCGACCGGCTGATTAGATTGTCCGCCACGTACACTGCTCCGGCGATGGCTTATTACAATGTATTTGGCGGTGGCACACGTACCATGCGTGCTCACCAATACATCTTGGCGCCCGGCTTGGTTGAGTCTGGCTGGCATTCAGGATCAGGTGTTGCTCGCGCGTAAGCGTCACCTGCGTGCCGGTATGCAGGAAAGGCGACGGCGGTTAAGCTAAACAAGACACCGGCAAAGGCCGACATACCGACATACCGAGCTGCGTATATAGCTGCGTCTGTAACAAGCATTATATGCATGCTGCAACGTGTTGCGTGGAAGGGGAAAGAATTCCTTGACCGAGCGACATGCTTCCCCGCGCTGACGCAGTACTACAGCAGCTAGGTAATCAGACCAGAAGACACATGCTTTGTGTAAGTCGTACTAATGGTCGTAGCTTATCCTTGAGCGAGTAAAGCGCCGTCACAGGGCCAAAGGTCCGTCGACTACCACTGGGGAGCTGTTGCTTCGAATGTACAAGCCTGGAGTGGCAAATACTGTTGGATCCATGGCTGTAAGCGAGAGATGGAATATAATCCCCGACGGGCGTGACTTGGAATCATAAGGCTATGCAAATCTGACTAGTGCCGATATGCCATTGGCTTCAGACAGGCGTTGGCGGAAGAGAGAGTAGGATGAGAGCGCAGAGGTGCTGCCCGATATGCCGTATTACTACTAGCAGCCGCAAGTTACACACAGGCTGTATGTAGTAGAGCATCATCATCATGTCCATCAATGCATTGTGCCATGCGGCGGGTCGGCCGTGAGAGTTGAACGCATGCAGTCTGTGGCCTACCGCGGCGGGTCGATGTCCTCAACAAAGTTAGACTAGTATCCCACGCAACATGCGATGGATCGTTGGGGGGAGCATTGGACGCATTGGACGCATTGGACGCCGTTGCCGCCTCTCGGAGACAAAGCATGGGAAATGTCACTGGCCGTGGCCTTGCCCTTTGGCATCCGTGGCTCGGGGCAGTCCACGTTTCGCTCGCGTTGATCGATCTCTCCACGCCGAGTGCCCTAGCTTCTTATCCCGTACCGGCTTGCTGCAGTGATGTACACTATGGTGGACTCCTCATAATATGGGTCTGATTGTGGCGAGCCTTCAGCCTTCGGTCTGGGGAGAGCGCCAAGCATCAACATCTGCCAGGGCTAGCGCGTGTAAGAAGCTGACGAATTGGTAGGCGGGCATTGCTAGAGCAGGGACGTCGCAGCTGTCATCACACAGGAGAGGCAGCAGGCGGCAGACTGATTATGGCAGGATGCACGAGGAGACTGCGTCCTCAGCTTACTCTGCGGGGGGTTCGTCCTGTGTGGCCCCCCGTTGACGCACGGCCTGGTGCATAAATACGCGATACAGAGATGTTTAGGCACGCACTCTGGGCTTGTAAGCAGAAACGCTCGGCGTGGGTAGGGATGATTGCCGAACGAGATGCTGCCGAGCCCAAACGCTCTTGAATGCCATTGGAATCTGTCTGTCCTTGACTCCGTGACCAGATAGCTGCCCACCATCTTCCTCTGTTCTTTCAGCCCTTTTCCCTTTTGACTCTTTAGCTTCTGGCTGCAGATGCTAGCAATGGGCCGGATTCCGCATTAGTACGAGGATAATATGGGGGCAGACGACAAAGAATCAGACCATTGATATCGTGGTCCTTGCTCATACATCTCGTAGCGGCCATGCTGGGATCTCAGGGCTTGGAGCATGGCCAAGTATGGCGGACAAAGGATGGCTAGCGCTCTGGTTGACTAGGACCTAAGAGTAGAATAGTCGACGCTCAGCGGACAGCCGAGCCTGTGAAACTGCGGTGCCGACCGCTAGCCCAGCCGGCGCTGCAGATCGATAGCTTCTCAGAGGCTCGCTGGCGATGCTGGGGATATCCTGCTGCCATGCTCCTAGAGCGCGTCGCTTCCGCAGCCGCAGCGCGCTACGGATGCAGCATCGCTGCGCCGATATCGACGCTTGTGACGGGCCCAGGCAAGGGAGAGGCGCTGGTTGATGGCCAGAGGCATCGGGTCGCCCCGGATGAGGGAGAAGGACGAGATGGCTCGCCAAGTTTGCAGAATTCCAACCAGCTTTGCGAGGGCTGGGATGCGGCCCCCGCAAGGTTGGCACATGTCGTGCTCGTGTGATGGCGGCCTTGCTGGATCTATGGCATCAGATGCTTCCGACTGGCTCGGCTGCGTCAGGCCATGGAAGCCACTGGCGCCGATAGCTGGGCGTGCCGGTTGATGGCGGTTGGCTAATACTGGTATGGCTAGGGAGTTGGAGAGTTGCGAGTTGAAGGCCAACCCCCAGCGAGGAAAAAGAAGGAAATGCTGCCCAACCGATGTGGCTGGATAGGGTTGTTTCGATCTGGATTTGCCGTACGCACCCGTTGGGCCAGCACTAATGAAAGGGTATTGATCCTATCAGCAGTATTACTGCATGTTAGCACCTCTGCTCGGTTTATTTCCGCTCATACCTGGTGCCTGCGCAGCCTAGCAGAGCCTTGTGTTTTAACCAAGTCACGGATGTCTTCGTGGACCCTACAAAGCAAATTGGCTTGGAAATTGAATCATTTCACGGCGTCCAAGGCAGGTACTGCGAAGCCCAGCGTCTCATGGCAGCGGCGGTACTGCTCTCTACCTCGAGGGTACCTCTTGGGGAGCACCGTTTGGAGCTACTACTGGGCCCGTGCTTGGGTGCTACAATGCAGTACATGCTTCGTCTTCGGCTCGGACTTTTATCTCGATGCATCTGCAGCCTGTTAAAATACATACATATAGTGAATGGAATATCTAGGTAGGTAGGTAGATAGGTACTCCATATCATGATCATGACACGCAGGCCCTGTAGTACAATGCCAAAAAGCATTTCGCAAGGGTATACAGGTGGCATATGCGGCCGACAGGTTGCTCGTATATGTGCTCGCTCGTGCTGCTTGAGACATGCCGATGATTCCCTTGCTGCAGCGCTCTGACATAATCTGGCCGCTAATTTTCTGCGGTGCAGGCCTAGTTGCGAAGTATCTCTTAGGTACCCGTCGCTATCATCCAGGGTCTGGGTTATACTTGTGCGCGGCGCCCACAGACAGCAGCGAGACAAGCACATCCGCCCCAGACGCTTTGGCCGCAGGGTTGTCGGGGCCGCAAGCTCCAAGCTCAACCCATGCCTTGCTGGCTGTGAAAGCCCTGCGCTGCTCGGCGGACGCAGGCTGCAGACAGGCCCTGTAGGGGAGAAGAGAAAAATAGGGGATCATTGGACAGAGCAGATGCCTGTGCTGCTGCGTGTCGTCGGCCCTGTACGAGCATGCTACAGTACTTGTATGTCTGTATGTACCTGTACGAGTGCCTGTGCGAGCGAAGCCGCTGCGTGGGTTGGCTGGGTTGTGCCGCCCAGAAGGGCTTAGCTGGCCTGGGGCAGGGCCTGGGGGCGCGCAGCTCTGGTGTTCCGGCTGCCACTAACTGGCAGCTAAGGCGCTGCTATTCAGCGCAGACGGTGCTGCTAGGACCAGCTTGGCACTGCTAATTGTGCTGCGGCATTCTTCTGCCTGGTCTCGCTGAAGCGTCAACCCAATGCGTGCTCCCCCTTCAAGAATACTGCAGTACCTGTACTTGGTGGCCGGCAGGCTGTTGCTCCTCGCCTCACTTCACGCTACACGCAAGCACCTCCCACTAGGCTCAAACGTCCTAGACCTCGATGCTCTCCGCACCAGAGAAACTTTGTGCGCTCTACCTACAGGTACACCCAAGGCACGATGCGCAGCGAGTACTGCTACATCAACAAGTACAGTACGTGCCCACGCCGGCCGGCGCTTCACGCTCTCCAACCATTGCTGCTCTGTGCAAAGTACATGCCCCGAACGCGCATGCGTACAGGCTGCATGCTGCATATGGCATTGCCTCCATGCCGTTACTAGGCCTGCTAGCCTGTCTGTGCCTCCATTTTCCCTGCGAACGGCCGCGTCCCTCTTTAAACCGCTCTCCCGTAACCGCCTCCAGAGCCCCCTATCAGCAAGCCTCTTCTTATCCCAAATCCAAAGCCGGACCCGCCCAAAATCCACACCTGCTTCTCCACCAAAGTCCACTCGACCAGCTCCAAGGTCGCTCAGAGCATCTTCGTCTTTTTGGCCGTGCTAGAACTGACACAAACATCCCTCCCCAAACTACTCCCTCTGATCCCAATTGCTTTGCACCGCTCGCACCGCATCTCCTCAACCATTGCACCGTCGCCGTGCTGCGCCCAGACTCTTGCGTTCGGCCCTCGAGTTGCTGCTTCGTCCTTTTCACTGCTTTTGCTGCTCATCTCCGTCCCCCTCCTCCTTTCGCAGCGCCGCTAGCGGGCCCTTTTGGAATCGCCGGCGAAAACCCTAGGATTGCTTGTCTTAGCTCGGCCGCTCGACCACTTAACTTGCGCCCATCATGGCGGGCAGAATGGTACTGTACAAACTGGTGGTGCTGGGAGATGGTGGTGTTGGCAAGACGGCCTTGACCATCCAGCTTTGTCTGCAGCATTTCGTCGAGACGGTAAGCATGAAATACCTAGCCCTTTTTCCTCACTGCAGCGAGCAGTAAAAGTCATGGAAGAAGCAGCGTCACCAATTCCTCCCCCCCCCCTCTCCTGGCCCATTCGTTGGGTTGAGCGGTGGCGGGAATGGAAGAGGGGCAGAAACAATGGGGGAGTCGTCTACAGAGAGAGGCACGTTTTAGCTAACGGTTGATGCTAATAGTACGACCCGACAATTGAGGATTCGTACCGCAAACAGGTTGTCATTGATGGCCAGCCCTGCATGCTTGAGGTGCTCGATACGGCCGGCCAGGAAGAGTACACAGCGCTGCGAGATCAATGGATTCGCGATGGCGAAGGCTTTGTACTGGTCTACAGCATCGCATCCCGCTCATCCTTTACTCGCATCAAGCGGTTTCACCACCAGATACAGCGCGTCAAGGAGTCGGTAGCTTCTTCACCGTCATACCCCGGCTCTCCTCTTTCTGCCACCAACTCGCAGCTGCCTGTACCCATCATGCTTGTCGGCAACAAGAGCGACAGAGTCACCGAGCGCGAGGTATCGACCCAAGAGGGACATGCTTTGGCTCGGGAGCTGGGCTGTGAGTTTGTTGAGGCCTCGGCTAAGAATTGCATCAACGTAGAAAAGGCTTTCTACGATGTCGTGAGGATTCTACGCCGACAACGCCAGCAGGCTTCACGACCCCCGGCGGGCTCAAGCGGCCGAACTCGAACAAGCAATGGCGATGTAGGCGGAGGAGGCCGAGATTCACACAAGTACGGGCGCGGCGGTGGCAAGAGCAAGTCCAAGTGCATTGTGTTATGAGCAGCTTCATTGGTCTCATCTTCCAACTTCCGATACATCTTGAGGGCTGGGCCATGTTGGATAACGCGCGCTTGATTCTGCATGCTTTCGGTTTTTTTTTGTGTTCTTTGATGCTTTTATCTACTTGTTGAACTTGACATCACCTCCACTAGGTGTCTCTCCTTCGATGGAATAGAATGGATCGGGGTTGACGCGACGTTAACTCCGCAGCAGCAAGAGCTGGTGCTCTGTTTTTAACCCTTCCCCCCGCTGTTGGACGAGCTTTCAGTATTTTTATATGATTACGACGGCACTTTTGGAAAGAAAGAAAAAGAGAAAGAAAACGCATCTTTATTTTAAAACTTACGGCTCCTCGAATTGGCGCATGGCGTAAGACATGTGCACGCACAGACGCACACATACAAATCAAACTGGCGGCATCATCCTGCGGCGCTGGATTTCCAATACATTTATACCGTTACTGGACAAGCTGAACGCGGCTCTTTGATGAATTTTTTTTGGGAGCAATAAACTCATTTCTTTTTGTCCTCTGGCTTTACCTGACGATTTGACACGCACCGATCAACGCCAATTGCTGTCTCCAACGCCGGCGGCACCTCTTATCTCTCCCTGCATCATCACCAATTCCTACTCTATTTTGCGTTCGTTTCCCCACAGATCTGGAATGGATGGTCGTGTGGGTGTTCCAGGAGTCTTTGGTTGAGTCTGATTTCTTTTTTCCTTTCCTGCTCCGACAGTTTCCATCTCTGCTACTCCCTTTTCAAATTTTGGGTTACAAAAAGTACATCACCGTATACGTCTTGGGCACATGTCATGGGAGGGGTGTTGATAGCGATATCTTGTTGGATCTGTCATTTTTCTTATTTACTATGTTATTCCTGTTATTATCCCATATTGTGTTGATTCTCTTTCCTTTTCTTTTCTCCCTTTTATTATCCTTATATCTGGTTTCTAGACGAAATTGTACGGAAGAAGGGAATGCTGGATGCTAGAAGCTACAATTCCTTTTTTTTTTCTTCAGTCAGAAGTTCGAATTTTCCTATTTCTCTCTCTCCTTTTTCGATTTTCTTTTGTAAACAAGAGCGAGATTTGGGATAGGCCTACGCCACTTTGGCCCAAGAGGGGAAAAGCAAGAAGAAAAAGTCCAAACTGCATTGATGTTATTTTTTGAAGACGCGGCGGAACTCACTGGGACAATTGGCGGGCTGTTGCAAGGCTGTATTTGCGCTTTGCCCTCGGGCTACATCCTACCTAGCAGCACCTACAATTGACATGACCGGGTGTCACTCGTCATATTCTCATAGCTGATCTCTCTACCTATCTGTGCATGTGAAGTATTCGAAACCCGTAATAACCCGCAATGATGTAACCATGCGGTGTATATCGCTACCTGTGCGTGCCATTCTGACACTTGATAAGTCTCCCCCACTGCTCCCCAGGAAAAGGATATGTTCACCTAGTTACGGTGCCGGGCGTTTGAGCTTCTAATGTGTCACAACTATGGACTGGCGAACTAAGTAGGGCGAAAACTGGAGCACCAATTAGCGTTTTGATCTACAGCAAAGAACGTCGACAAGGCCAATGTGACCACAAGGTGGCGTTTAGGGAGAAAGAGACGATCACTGGAGTAGGGATGTGCACGGCAGAGGGTTCCGACGGGAATTTATTTGTGGAGAGAGTGACTGGCATTGCTTATTTTCACGGGCAATTTTGTTGATTCAAGGTTGTTTTATGCAGATGTCGGTACATATCAGGCAGCGACATACAAACATGCCGCCGTATAGCTTTAGTTGACTATCGAGCTAACTAGCACATGTGGAAGTGCTGCCATTGGCCAATAGAGTTTGCGGATCAAAACTCATGATGGCTTGATAAATATGAAAATACGGGGCACGGCAACAATACTATTTTGAATCTTAGTTTCTCACGACGGCTCAATTTGTCTTTCCCCAAGGAGAGAGAGAGAGAAGAAGAAAAAACATAGCCTCGCTTTCTATAAACGGTCGTTGTTCGATCCGCGTGGCTCGGCCACTCCGCCATCGACAACGGCCCTACAACTAGCCATCACTAGAGAGCGACTAAGCTTCTTGGACGCGGGATAACGAGACGACAGGTGGTGTGTGTGGAACTACTACTGATTTTCTCTTCCTTGACCAATTGCAGATAACAAATGTCATTCGGTTACTGCTATTCTCATATACCCTCTTGTTCTTCTCCTTCTTCCAGTGGCTGTAGTGTGGTTTGTGGTGGTGTATCGTTACGCGGAATGGCACTTTTTTGGTTCTAGTGTTCTTTGTTATTGAGCAATCTCCACTCTTTGTATGCGTTCCTGATTGATGGAACATTTCTCGTTTTTTTGGACAACTAGAATACACAAATTTCATTTTTTCAAGATGTAGAAATTCATATTCGTTTTTTTGCTGTTAAAAAAAAATCCCCCCAAAAAGCTAAATTGACAATTACCACGCCAACCCGGCAACGTCAACCGAGTTTAGCTGAAGCAACTAAAATCCCTCCCGTGCAGAGTGATAACAAAAGTTCCAGTCTCAACCAACAACAAAAAACTAATTGCTGACCTATAAGACAAAGGCTGGATGTGGGCAGATAAAAAAAAAACAAAAAAAAGAGACGTACCTCTTTTTTTCCGTTTGTTCTAGGCAAAACGTCAAAAACTAATGTCTACTTGCCCACCCCGCTCTCTTGCACAAAACTCACACGCCATCTAACGGTTTCTGAAGCCACTTTGAACGCATGTCGGCGTCTTTCGAGACATGGCATCTTATTCTTACGTTTTTGAAACGCTAAAGAGTTATAGACTGCGTGAGGGCGATTTAGCTGCCCATCTATGCCATGATCTAAACCCCGCAAGGGGCGTTGAATAGTCTTGACGCGCAGCGTGGTGGCGTCCTATAAGTCGTCTTAACGCAAGGGGCCAGACAGATTCAGAGACTTGAGCAGCCTATCGGCCATAGTCGGCTTACCAACTACCTAGTTTTGACGTGCAACGCCTCTTTTGTCTATAATCAACCTCTCCGCACTTTGCTTTTAGATTGAAGTCGGGCAAGTCCGAGGATTATTGCTCCGGAGTTGTCCCTGCTACTTTACAATCGGCATCTTGGCTTACAACGAGCTCCAGCACCAACTCACAAGTCTAAATGCTAAGTTCATCTACGAGAAACCAAGCTTGGCATATTGAATTTGAACACACATACACACACACGTACTCTCTCTCTCCCACTCTCTCTCTCTCTCACACACACACATATAGAGCACAATTGCCAAGCAAGTCATGTTTTCTATTCAAAATAGTAATAAATAAAATCGAGCACACAAAAAGATGTCACCATTTGTTGCTTCAAAATCCATGCCGCCATCTGTCATATCAATCCCTGCGACATTTTGTCCCCATATAAAAAAAAGACGCCATAAACCCGTAACTAAGATATTCTCTCGTCGCTGAAGAAAGCAGGGGTCTCCAAAAAAGTATAACACGAAAAGTATAGAAAAAGAAAAAAAAAAAGAGGGAGACAAAGAAAAAACCCCCCTCACCACGCTCGTCATTGACTCGTGTGAATCAACATATATAAAAGGCCCTCAGGTTTGATTTAATTAATCCTTAGCTTCATGCTCATCACCAAAAGGGCTGGTATCACGCTTCTGAGAGCCTGTGTGCTCTCCCTCTTTGGTGGCCGCCCTTTCTCTGCTGGGCGAAGAGGGGGCTTCAACGGAGATCTTGGGGCTGGAATCGCCCTCTGGAGGATCAGAGAACGGACCCTGGTCTTCCTTTGATGAATCTCCTTGGCTCGTAGGTGGAGTCACGCTGTCTGTTGTTGTCTCTGGTGACTTGTTGCCGAGTGTTGTGGAGGATGTGTTAGCCTCAGGCTTGGAGGCAATCTCCACCATTCTCAGTCCAGAGCCTCCCACTTTGACAACCTGTGCGCGAGCTTGGGTAACGGTGTTGGCACTATTAAGGAAAGTAGATCCAACGCTAAAGTTGCTTGCCGCACTCGTAGGTCGTAGGTGCTTGGAAGCATTGAACTTGTCGAAGTCGATGTTGGGAATAGGAGGAGTGCTGGGGGCGCTTGAACCAGACTTGACGCTCACCATTGTCGGCTTGGCACGCATACCGGTCTGGGCAGGAGTCAGGACTTGCTGCTTGCCACCACCAAAGATGGTAGATGCAACGCTAGAGCGAGGAGGAGCAAATGAAGTTCGGTCCGAAAAGGCAGAGATACCGGAGTATGTCGAGTCTCGCAAGTTGCCGGGAACAAAGAAGTGAGGATCAGCCTCAGAATCGCGGTATCCTTCGGTATGATGCATGGGAATCGGCGGAACAGGGGGGACAAGAACATTGGGCGACGTAGGAGTGGCTCGGTTGGTGACGCCGGGAATGTAGGCGATTTGGATAATGTTGGAAGCGCGGGTGAGAACGGTCGAGGCAATGGAATGGACAGTATGTGTCGATCCGCGGCGCGTAACTCGGTTGCCATTCTTTTCGCTGCCTTCAGGAGCGCCCTCTTCGGCGCCATAGACCGCTTGGGTGTTTTGTCTCTTGGGCTTGATTAGGAATCTCCACACAAGGTAAGTGATGATGGCAATGGCAGCAAGACCACCGATGACACCACCAGCGATAGGGCCTGCGCTTGGGCCGCCGCTGCCGCCACCTTTTCCGCTGCTGGTCGAGGGCGTATCATTCGGCGCGCAGAAGGACGTAGGACATTGCGTGCAATCGAGCGGAACTGTAAACTGACAGCTCTCATTGGAAGCGCAAGAAGGGCATTGAAGCTTGGATGTGTCATCGCACTTAACGCAGTCGCCTGATCTTGGGACCAGTCTCATCACTGGGATAGACATTAGTAGCCGTAATAGGAGAGCAGCATGCGTCCATGCCTCTGAGATCCCTCACCTTCATGCAGTTCCGAAATGTCCCTCGCAACGAGATACGAGGTCGTGTCCATCTTGGGCGATTCCTTTGTGGCAATACGCAAAATAGTAGCGCTCGGTGATTCACAGTGACAAGATAGGGTCGTTCAGATCAGATTCGTTAACGATAGGGCGTCGAGCAAATGCAGCAGACAATACTGGTCGACAGGAAGCTCTTGGATGTCCGGACTTTTTAATATTTTGATTTTTTTTTTTTTTCTTTCTTTTCTTTTCTTTTCTTTTCTTTTCTCCTTCGTGATAATACTCGAGTAGCTGTCTTCGGCCAAAGGAAACGAGCACTTTGTCTCGTAGCGTAGGTAGAAGTTGAAAGACCGCGGGAAATTGGAAGAAAGGAGTGGACTGAGTCTAGCTCAAACAAACGAATCCAAAAAAAAATTAAAGAACAAAAAGGTAGTTAAAAAAAAGCGAGCGTGAGTGGTAAACAATAAGATGCTGGATCAAGACGAATAGAACGACATAATCGGCCTTGGCGACAGTCGAGGATGAAGAAAACGAACGGAAGAGAAGACTTGCAGCTGCTTTCCGGGTTCGTTGCACGCTCGGTGTTTTCTGTGCTGATTGTCGTTCGACAAGGCGAGAAAAGAGGGCGCAGTGGAGGATTGGGCGAGAAGCGAAAGAAGGACCTGCGCTGGCTGGGGCGGACGGCAGAGCGACACGCTGCACCACGAGCTTCTACAGGGCCCTGCCCGCCAAGCTTGCCCTTCTGAATGCTGCTGCAAAGCAAAGAACGCAGAAAGATGGGCCCCCCGGTTTGGCCATGGGGGGGGCGTTTCTGGCGCCAGGGGCAGCGTCAGGGAGCTAGAGCCGCTTGGGGCCTAGCCGCCTGCGTTTCGCAGCGCCCGCGCACAGTGCATCTTGCGCCGGCGGGCCCTCTGACAGCCTCTTGTTTTGGGCTGTTTTGGACCGGTGCCAGGGGCTGTGGGAGGCGCTGGAGCGGCGCTGAGTGGCCGCGGGAGCTGCGCGCGGTGGGGCGCCGCACCGCTGGGAGGGACCGTCCGGGCACTGTGGGATCGCACCGTGGCCTCCGCTCCCCCATTGCAGCGCCACTTGTTTACCACCTGCTAGTAGCTGTTAGCCCGAGTCGCACTGCGACGAGCACTATCTTGACTCTGTACTAGCACTCGGTCCATTCCACAACGAGGGTGGACCTTGCCTGCTTGTTTTCCGTCCGCTAATGCCTGGCCGCTGCGACGTTGTGGATTTTTGGCTTGCATACATTTCGCTGCAATAAGATTCGCGACAATGCGCTGGCTGGGCGTGCTAACGAGTTTTCTCTAATTGCATGTACTGTACACCCAGAGGCTCGCCGCCATGATTTGACACTCGATCCGCTACTGCCGTGCTGTGTCTCTACTGTACGGAGCCCGTAGTGGGTGTCCAGGGTGAAGAGAGTACGTATACGCAAGTGGCATGTACTCCGTATTTGATTCATTTTTCTGCTCCGTCGACACGTAATGCGGTCAATTCGCTGCTTGTTGCCGCCGGCTATCCCTCCAAACGAGCCTTGCAGCTGGGAACCTGGGCCTCAGGTAAAATAACAGAGGCAGAAATACTGTAGGCAAAAAAAAGACGAAGAGATCTCGCGTGTCAGTGGATGAACCGCCCGGTGCAACCTGCGACTCCGCTACCTGCAGCGCCTCGCAGCCCCCGTGGGACGAAAGACGTTTTCCACTGATTCAGCCCAGCCGCCCTCGGATCCAATGACTTCTCGTCTATTGGCCTGCTTGCGCGAGATTTCTCGATGCGAACGCTGCAGTGGCACAGTACGGGATAAGAAAGAGACAATCGCTATAGGGCAAGCAGCAGGCATCTTCCTAGTGAAAGGATCCACCAGGAAAGAGGAAGAGAAAAAGAAGCTGTTTTCTTGGCTTTTTTTTTTCTTCTTCCCTCCGTCAATCCCTTGCTTACTCTGGCTCCAAGCTAAGATGCCACACTTACAGCAAGTTTTGTTCCCCGTAAATTAACAATTTGCCGATGCCAGCAAATCACGCTCGCTCCCCGCCATGGTTGAGCATGACAACTCGTAAAATGAACGGTCCTCGAGCAAGGGTGGTGTGGCCTAGAGACGCGCACGTTTCGCACGTGCAAGTAGTATTACTCGTGGACTTATCGTCGCCTACCTACCAGGTAAGGTATAGAGTATTCATTCCATATACAGAGTACGGAATACGAAGTATATATGCACTAAGGCCAAGCATGTTTGGATTGTTATCTTCGCCCTGCAAATTCGCGTCCAGAGTCAATCTCACCGCAAATCTTAGTAGTTAGCAGTCTCATGTTATACATCAGTACATAGTAGGTAAGCCCTGCAGATAGACACGAATTACGTGGGCCGGCAGTACGAAGAATTGCAACTCTAAAATATGACCAGATGGAATCGTGCAGATCCTTCGTTCTGGAACATGGGCAATGTCCTGATTGCAGCGGAGAATGCGCGCTTTTGGAACAAGCTTGTTACAGATATACCATATTAGGCACTCTTGGGCGTAATCGTCGTAGTTGTTTATCCGATCTGAAGCGTTTGCATAATGCTCACCGGCTCTTGCTATACTCGTAGGTACGAAGACTGGTCTCTGTGAAGTTTAATTGGATTAGTAGCACCTATCTTATCAAGTGGCATTCTGACGCGAGGAAGCCTTTTCCTTCCACCGGCTACTCCGGAACTGGTTTTTCTTTACACGGGAGAAAATTGATCATGTCTTAAAATGTCTTGAAAAAAAAGAATCGTAATTATCATGACAAGAACACTGCCATCATTAAATCTTGACCTCTTCGCACGTTGGCTGGATATATCTAGAGTACAATCCCACAAAAATCTATAACTTCCCAATAGTAGCATAAATACTCAAACTCCACTGCCCATCCTATACCATCCTTTTCCATCACCGTCGGTCTTTTTTGTCTATTGATTTCAGAGCTTTACGCGTTTGATGCGTCGTTGTTGCTCTGAGAACTGGCACTCATGACAGGCTTGGTCACTGGAAGCGACATCTTGGCCTTCTCCGTCTGGCGAATCTTGCCCCAGGCATACACAAGACCACTGAAGAAACCAATGATAATGGCAGACACGCTGCCAAAAGTAACGGGGGCATCGAAGAAAATAAGTCCACTGACAGCGATAGGAAGCTTGTTCAGGGCTCCCACCATCGAATAAGTGGTAGAGGAAGTTACACGAATGCACCAGGCAGACGAGTATGAAATGAAGATGGCACACAGACCAGAGTAGATCATACCGATGATGAGACTGTTTCGAGTCTCCGCGGGGAAGTTTCGAGCCAGGTTATCAGCAGACCAGTCCTCGAGCAGAAGAGAGCCAACAATCAGGACCGGAATGGTCAAAAAGTTGTTGTAGAACATGGCTGTACGAGGATGGTCAGCATTTGTTATCATATCTCGGCGTATGTATCTAGGAAAAAGAAAACACTCACTGTCCCAGTCCTTGAAACCCATCTTCTTAATGACCTTGCGCATACCGAGAACAAAGGCAGCCTGGCAGAACACATTCAGGGCCATCCAGGTGTAGCCGACTTGCAGGGTGGCAAGGGATTGAGAGGCCTTTGATGAACGTCCAGCAGCATCGGCATCAGCCCAGGCGGCAACGATGGAACTGAAAACAATCAAGCCAAAGGAGAGGAGAATAGTTGGGCTGACGCTTCCACCAAACCAGAGCACCTCTCCATAGGCGATAACAATAATGGTCAAGTTCTTGAAGATGGTGTACACAGGCACAGAGAGGTACTGAAGAGCCTTGGCGCCAGTATAAATCATACCAACCAACAGAACAGAAATTGGGAACCCTGTACAAAATTAGCAACTCTGTAAATCAACATATCAAACAACAAGAGCTGACATTTTTTGCCCTTCTCAACGTCAAATGCAGAAAGGTTGGTAATAAGACCGGCCTGCTTGCAAGCCTGAATAGCAACACAACACACAATGGACTATTTGATAGTTAGCAAATGGTCATTTTTCGAAGGAAAAGAAATGCCAAAAACAAAAAGGGGATTAGGGGATGGCAGGGGGGATTATTTACCTGAATAGCAAGATATAAAAAGTTCATGTTCCATGAGGAGCCCGACACAACATATTTATTGACGACAGTCATACTGATGGAAGCCAAGCAGTAACCCAGCACAGATGCCCCCGGGCTGTTGTCGATCTTGGACAAGCTAAAGCCAGTTGGTGCAGCCATTCGAGGCGAGGGTGAGCGAGAGTAGGCCGTCTCGACCTTGCCGCCGTCGCCCATCTCGGCGTCCCGGTGGCTATAATCGTCGTTCTTTTTGTCTGACATTGTGAGGACCAACGCTACAGACGCTCAGACAGCCAGGCGATGAGGAATGATACAGGGAACGGTAATGAGAGTGAGAGTGAGGGTGAAGACGAGAGTGAAACGAGAGGCTGGCTTGACAGAGTCGCTAAGGGTGGGTTCCACGCGAAATTCTCTGGGGGCGGAGATGGCGCGATCTGCGTCGGAAGGGAGAAAAGGAAGATGGGTCAAACGAGAGGCTTCTTCTAGAATAAGAGAAGAAATGAAGACTATGCAAGAAGCGCGCGGGCGTGAGGTTGTTGTGAAGACCGCTCTTTGCCAGGCACAGACACGTACTCCCTAATACTCCTAACTCCGTACATGCAATTCAGGAGAACAAATCTTGTCTGCGGTTGGCAAATTTCATCTCGATCCCTTAGTGGGGCAAACCCGGCCAAAAGGGGTTTAGCGACACAGACGCACCGCCTCCCACTCTGGCGTCCAGAGATTCTCCGTACGAGAAACTGAGGACTTTTTCGCAAGGTGGCGATTGGACGTTCGGAGTGCGTGATACGCAACGCCAGGCATGGGGCTGGCCGATAGGCGCAAGACATTATCCTCAGATAGCGAGGGTGACGATGCAGAATCGCATCTGGCACGGACAGGGCATCCACCTGTGGCCCGGCTGGGCCTCTGAATAGGCCAGTGCTAGTAGGTAGTATTCTGCGAATGGCCTATTCGCGCATCACGGGTATTGACTGTGATATC